GAAGGAATGAAAGGGAAAAACATTTTTATATCAATACATGTTTCAATATATTAAAACATCACTCCTCTGAGGAGTGCATCTGTCCATATATTTCTTTGAGGTTGTTAGTTTGTTGGTTGACATGATTGGTAACAGAACAACACACATATGAGAGGAGTAAAAAAAAAATATGTCCACCCCTTTGTTGGTTACCACTTGTTACACCCCTGATATTCGCCCATATATTATACTCCTTGGCTGTCACTATCACTTTTACATATTTTTGAACCCTTTGGCTACCACTTGCACATCTCTTTTCCCCTTTTACACCCCTTTTACATATTGTTCAACCCTTTGGCTACCACTCATACATCCCTTTTCCCCTACTACACCCCTTTTACATATTTTTGAACCCTTTGGCTACCACTCTTACATCCCTTTTCTCCTACATTACACCCCTTTGACATATTTTTGAACCCTTTGGCTACCACTCTTACATCCCTTTTCTCCTACATTACACCCCTTTGACATATTGTTGAACCCTTTGGCTACCACTCTTACATCCCTTTCCCCCTATTCCACCACAAACAGCTGAATGCTATTTTTTTGCCCTGAAAGTCTTGAGCTCTGTGGGTGTGTGAAACTTCAATCTCTTTCTTTCAACTTTTCTTTGGCCCAGGCAACAACATCTAGTTCGTTCTCTCCATTTCTCAATTTTTCCATGACTTGATCAGCCATGGTGGCAAGCTCCTGCTTGCTGAATCTCCAAGTGTCTCTGTGCTTCAGCTCTATGATCTGCCTTTTAAAGTCTTTGGTTCCATCTTTCCATTTTTTCCTGATTGCAAATGCATTAGTCTTGGTTCTCTATTCTTTCACAAAAGTCCCACTGTTCGGTTCTGCTGGAACAGCAGGCTCACTAGGCAAAATGCTAGCAGGCCTTTTCAAGACACCAGCAGCCTTAGCCTTAGCTTTGCCCTTGGCCTTGGCCTTGGCTTTTCAGGCTCAGCCTTCAAAAGTTTTTCCCATTGCATAGTGGGCATTTCAGTCGTGATCCAATCTTCTCCTTCGAATCTGGCAAGCACAAAGCCTTGGTCACCTGCCTTGCACTCAGCAAGCTCCAAGTCACCAGCAGCATCCCCTCTTCTGACAAAAGTGTGCAGCATTGGGTCAAACCAAAGGCCTTTGCCTTGAACTGGCAGTGCTGGGCCTGCTGCAGAAGAAGAAGGTAAAGGAAGATGTGCTTGGTCATGTCCTTCTTCTCCAGAAGACACAAAGACAGGTTCCTCGGATTTCTGCTGAAGCAATTGGTCGCTGCTCTGCAAAAGGCCAGCATACAATTCTTCCACAGAAGTTTCTCTAGCTGGTGCAGATGAAGCCAAAGGTGTTGCTGCCTTCTTTCTCCTTTTGGGAGAAGGTGTTGATGCAATGGAGATCTTCTTTTCCAAGGTTCTCTTCTTGGCATGAGCTAACAACTTTTCACCCAGACCTTGTGGATCTTTCTCAGACTCCTTGGACATTGCTTTCACAATTCTGCGTATAGCAGGGGGAAACTTCTGCCCAGTCTTCATCCTCAGTTTCTTTCTATGACAGAAGCTAGCAACTTCAGAAAACCTCTGAGCAAAGCTGCCACAAATGTCTTTGTCGCATTTCTGAAAAGTTTTTTCACAGGCCCCCAAGATCCAAGTCTTTGTAGGCCTGACACTCAACAGAATCATCTCCATTAGTAAATTAGGAAGTCCTCATATTGAATCACTATCTCCTCACAAGTGCCTTTGTTCCATATTTGCTGCCTAGAAAGTCCAGTGGGGAAAAAAAACTTGAGTGCTTTGCCCAAGTCCAAAGGGCTGGCACTATTTGATCTTCTCTTGACAACAGCCATATTTTCTTGAGCCAAACATCACATAGAGAAATTTGATTACAAAGGTGCAGCTTCAACTTGCAAGCCTGCAGAAAAACAAAACAAGCCAGAAGCACCTGTGTGGTTGCCAACCTTCTGGGCATGCAAGGCACAGAAAACTTGGCTTGAGCCAATGATCTCCTCAAAGGAGATCAAGATACAGCAAACATGATTTCATCAATGTTTCATCAAAAAAACATCAATGAAAAAGCAAAAGATCCAGAGACCTTAATTAAGTGATCTGGCCAAAATTCCAGATCACTTAATTAAGGTCTCCAAAACCATGATTTTTGGCAAACCTCCAGATCACTTAATTAAGGTAGCTACCTTAATTAAGGACTTTTGGAAGCTCTGGGTCGTGACATTCAGACGTGTTCTGGAACGTGTCGAAAGTCGTTTCGCGTGGCAGGCGCAATACTTTTGCGACGTTTTCAGAAGATGTGTTGCAGTTTTCGTGGCAGGCGCAGCACTTTGGACGTGTCCATCGTCATTTTTCGTGGCAGGCGCATCACTTTAGACGTGTCGTGTTGCGTGTTTTTTGCAAATCGCATTGGCAGGGCTGCGTCAAGTGGCGACAAGGTGCAAATTCCGTGGCAGGCGTGGCATTTTGTGCGATGTGCTGAAAATTGACGGAAGCCTCGCACGAAACATCGATTTTGATGTTGCCAATTTTCAGGTTCTAAGGAAAACTCGTAGGAAAACGTCGATTTTGAAGCTACAAAGTGTGAAAATTGGAGGAAGTCTCGCACGAAATGCTCGTTTTGGTGCTCCTCCATGTCTCGTCTCGCGTGTCTGGTTTTCCCGTGGCCTTGCCGTGTCTATGGTGGAAGCTGCAAAACTTGTCCTTTTGTCATGTTGCTAACTATGAAAATTGGAGGAAGTCTCGCACGAAATGCTGCTTTTTCTGCATCCACGTGTCTCGTCTCGAGTCTCTGGTTTTCCTGTGGCGTCGCCGAGTCTATGGGGGAAGCTGGAAAACATATCCTTTTCGACTGTTTCCAAGCAGGTTGTCATGTCGTTTTGCGTGGCAGGCGTGGCACTTTGTGACATTCCAACCTGTTTGATAATGTGTTGAAAATGTCAAAATTGGAGGAAGTCTCGTACGAAATGCTGGTTTTTCTGCATCCACATGTCTTGTCTCGAGTCTTTGGTTTTCCTGTGGCGTCGCCGTGTCTGTGGGGGAAGCTGGAAAACACGTCCTTTTCGAATGTGTCCAAGCAGGTTGTCATGTCGTTTTGCGTGGCAGGCGTGGCACTTTGTGACATTCCAAACTTGTTTGATAATGTGTTGAAAATGTCAAAATTGGAGGAAGCCTCGTACGAAATGCTGGTTTTTCTGCATCCACATGTCTCGTCTCGAGTCTCTGGTTTTCCTGTGGCGTCGCCGTGTCTATGGGAGAAGCTCCGCACTCCACACTCTACACTCCACAATTTACACTTTAGACTCCACACTCTACACTTTACATTCCACACTTTACACTTTGCACTTTACACTCCTCACTCCTCACCTGAGACTTTACACTCCACACTCCACACTTTACACTACACTCTACACTTTCCACTCCTCACTCCTCACTCTACACTTTACACTCCACACTCTATACTTTACACTCCACACTTTACACTGCACACTCCTTACTCTACACTCCACACTTCACACTCCACACTTTCCACTCCACACTCCACACTCCACACTTTACACTCCACACTCCACACTTTACACTCCTCACTCCACACTTTACACTCGTCACTTTACACTCTACACACCACACTCTACACTTTACACTCCTCACTCTACACTTTACACACTCTACACTCCCCACTCCACACTTTACACTCCACACTCCTCACTCCACACTCCCCACTTTACACTCCACACTCCATACTCTACACTTTCCACTCCACACACCGCACTCCACAGTCCACACTTTACTGTACACTCCACACTCCACACTTTATACTTTACACTCCTCACTCCACACTCCACACTTTACACTCCTCACTTTACACTCCACACTCCACACTCTACACACCACACTCTACACTTTCCACTCCAGACTCCACACTCTACACTTTACTCTCCACACTCCACACTTTACACTCCACACTTTACACTCCTCACTCCACTCCATACTTTACACTCCACACTCCACACTCCACACTTTACACTCCACACTTTACACTCCTCACTCCACACTTTACACTCCACACTTTACATTCCACACTCCACACTCTACACACCACACTCTCCACTTTCCACTTTCCACTCCACACTCCACACGCTACACTCTACACTCCACACCCTAAGCTTTACACTCTACACTTTACACTCCACACTCCACACACCACACTCTGCACTTTCCACTCCACACTCCACACTTTACACTCCTCACTTTACACTCCGCACTCCTCACTCCACACTTTACACTCCTCACTTTACACTCCACACTCCACACTTTGCACTTTACACTCCTCACTCCACACTTTACACTCGTCACTTTACACTCTAGACTCCACACTCTACACTTTACACTCCATACTCCACACTCTACACTTTACACTCCTCACTCTACACTTTACACACTCTACACTCCCCACTCCACACTTTACACTCCACACTCCTTACTTCACACTCCACACTCCACACTCTGCACTTTCCACTCCACACTGCAGACTGGTAACAAGGGAAACATGTACAAGACTGTTCAAATAAACTATTGCAGAATGGTATTGTGTGTGACTGCGTTTTGACATCTGTACCATTAACATACGTGTGAGCATTCGGGTTCGTGGGCTTCATCTTGTTCACTGGGAAGCAACAATAACTAAGAACCGCCCTTCAGAAAAGCAAAGAAGAATTGATGGCCCCAAATCTAGCGCGCCCCAGGCTTCTTAGCGCTTCTTATTTCAAGTAGCCAGTGAATAGGGGTGGCAATCCAGCAATCCAGCCCTGAAGTTCTTAATGCAGTGGGTTCAGTAATGCTTTCGCCGTACCTTCAGAGTACTGCTATGTACTGCGAGGACGGAAGACACCTTGAAGACAACTGCATGAAACTGGAGACACCACTTGCTCTGTAAGATCTGTAAGGTCTTGACAAATTTGCCAGTCATAGCATTCCTCTCAGGTCTATGACTATGGAAAAGATCATGGATTGAATTGGCTCCACCCGCAGGCCCAGCAGTCAGTACACCTCAGTGACTTGAAATCTTTGTCCCAATGTCAGTTGAAATCAAGGAGTAAAGTAACCAAGGCACAATATCATACAACATATTCGAATTCGTGCAGGTACATGAGCTGCATTCGTGTTGACCCAAACCAAAGAGTCATGATATGTCACGATCAAGTTCCGTTGTGTTCCATGGTTTTCTACAGATAAAACGTGTTGGACGGAGGAGGGGAGCTTATGGTTTTGCAGACCTATTTCGCCTATTTGGGCTTGCAGGATAAAGATCGGAAGCAGCCGGGAAGATCCATCAGTTCAGTGGTTTTGCCAAGACAATCACCACAGAGCAAGATGGACCAAGCTGAGGCTGAATTGGCTATGGCTATTCTCCAGGTGAAGATCCTCAACAAAGTTTCCCCTTTGAAGATCTTTCAAATCACCAAGTCACTATTTCAATTCTTGAATTCAATTAAAAATGGTTTTGATGAATGGTTTGCTTATCAAGCGGACCCCTTGCTTTCAAGCAGGCAGGCTGTTGCATAACTCGGATCGATTATACATGGTATGTGTTTGGCTCACCATCGTTCTGTCTGGTACTTGAGTTCTGGATGTAGAGTTCCCGGTGAACGTAGTGGTTCAATTGGAATATACAGTAATAATATGCAGAAACAAATTATACAGGGTCAGGCGCACACACTCAAAAAAAACGGTTTATACAATCGGGTATATTTCCCGGCCTCCTTCAAAAAAGACAAACACCTTAGCTGCAAGAGGACACAGAAGATTTCCTGAAAGCACTAGTTTTGAAAAAAAACAGACAGGTTGCCACAACAAATTGCTGGATGGTGGGTTTCGTTGGGAAAAGACTCCTCCTATCCCGTTGTTAGGTGAAACAGGTGTTTTGAATTGACAAACATCGCACAAACGACTCTTCCTGCGACCAGATCAGCACGCAGGCATTGTTGGAGGATGCCCGGGAGTTCTTGGCTTCGGAAGCATGGTACACAGAGCGTGGCATTCCGTATCGACGGGGCTACTTGCTTCATGGAGTACCTGGTGGTGGCTGGGTGGCCCAGTTGACCCAGTTGGGTTGGACTGGTTTGGACTTTGAAGTCAGCTGCTTCCAGCTTGCACCGTTCGAAGTTTCAAAAAATTAGCATCCTATGATATCCGATGCGTGTCCCTGATTCATCGGTGACATGGGCCAATGGGCCAATGAAAGGATCAGTTGCTCAGAGTTTGCCAACTCACTGGACAATACTGGACACAATTAGAAAAATTGGAAGAGATTGGACGTGATTGAAGCGAGATTGGAAGTCACTGCCGTGCCCCCTCCGCCATCGAGGCAAAAGCTCTCTCATCATGGCTGTGGCCTCTGAGCTGCGCCTGCCGATCTATGTCATGAGCTACTCGTACTTGGTCACCGGTGGCATAGGACTCATGGAACCTTCAGCAAAAGGCACCCCTTGTTGGAATTCCTTGGGAAGAAAGCTTGCTAATTTCCCTTCTTGATTTTGCTGGCAGCTGGCACTTGCAGGAAAATCTTTCTATCTCTTTCTTCAATTCAGTGGTTGGATCTCATCCTGTAGCCGTTCGTAGAAAGGGGAAGTGGGGTTTGCTCAGTTGGCAACGCAGTAGAAGCCTTTCCTACACGGATAGGCGCTTGGGCCCAGGTTTCTCTTCTGAGAGAATGAACGATGAAGTTCTGAGCTCGTTGTTGCCGCTCAATCTGGAGTTGGGGAAAGTGTCAGGAAGGTGGCAACCAGAACTCGTAAGCTTGGGAACCAGAACCATGAGGATGACTGGATTGCGAGGCGCCCTCTAAATTGCTCCAGGATGTTTGCTGCCCAGCACTCACCAGCCAAGGCAATACGGTATGCACGATCCTCCAACCATCCTGTTGCTGGAGGCTGCAGCGGTCACCTGATAGTGTGTCTTGAAGTTAGAAAACTCATCAGAAGTGCCTCAAACCACTTGCAATATGTTGCAATATGTTGCAATATCTTAAAGACAGGAACAACCTTGACCCAGAATCGTCAACATGGCAGTGTAGGCCGTGTAGGCCGTGTAGGCCGTGTAGGCCGTGTAGGCCGTGTAGGCCGTGTAGGCCGTGTAGGCCTCTGGCAGGATTTCAGGAGACCAATCAGTGAATCAGAAAATGGGCTTGAGCGGTCAGGATGTTGACCTCCTGCACTCTGCCGTGTTGAATCGCTCCTCTGAAGAAATGGGCAGGACATGGCAGGACTACAAATGCCTAGAAAATCATAGAAAGTTTACAAGTTTGAAGATGGAACCACTGCATCCCAAGATATTTACTCAAAATTCAGAGGCAGAATTCCCTCAAAGAACAGCACTCTCCATCACGAAAAGCTCAGGTCACAAAGCGGTGTCGGCAGATGAAGGAAGCCCAGGGGACTCTGAATCTTTGGCCCCACATAGTGCGATGTTTGTGACTGCGACTTGTTTGATATATTTGGATGATTTTGGAATACCGGTATGAGTTTCCTCTACGATTTCGGGGGGGTTAACCCCCTAAGGAGGGTTGATTTTCTGTCGTTCGAAAAGCTCAATTTGTTGAAATGATGCTTTCGAAGTTCCCCCAATTTTCTACAGAACAACTTTTGGAGACCTCTGAGTCGTAAGATCCTGATTTTCTGGGTAGTTTAGGTGCCCAAAATCCAGAAGCATAATTTTAGCATCTCTGGGAGTACGTTCATAGATTTTCTAATGGTCCCTGATTTTCTAGAGAGGCACTGGTAGGTCATTGTGTTTTGTTTAAACATGCTTAAAATCCAGTCCCATCTCTCTCCTGGGCTGTCCTGGGCGACGATTTGGGGAAGATTAGGGAAGATATGCGTTTTCGAAAAGCTCGGTCGAAAAAATCGAATAATTCGATGGGTTGGATGTTGGGCTCTAGAAAAAGGGAACCATTCCCCTGAAGTGGTTTTTAATTTTTTTGATATCAAAATTTCAAAACTATGCAATTCAAGTAGGGCGATGTTTTTCTAAGGAAAAATGCTAAACATAGCTTCAAAAATGCACTTCTTATAAGTTGCCATTTTTCTAGGATACCTCAAATTGGTTTGATGTCTGTAGCTAGATTTTCTTGGGTCCCTAATTTATACAACCTTCATTTTCTACTAGAAAATCACAGGCCCCAACCTGACCCGGTGAACTCGTACAGGGATATTTTGGATGTCTATTGGCAACATCCATGGATTGTGTATAACCTGCAGAGTTTAATGGACTCAAAGGTCTTTCCATTTGCGCAAGTCCAATAGAAATGTAGCTAGAGCAAGCACTGCCATTCTTTGAAGTTCAAAACCTGCTCAGCTATCTGGCAACGTGGCAAGAATAGTTGAGGACGTGCAACCCACCTCGTGAAGTCCAGTTTTGGATTTCATGCAGAGTTCCTCCCAAAAAGTCAGTCTCTCCGACTCCAACACAATTTTCGTTATACTGTTATACTCTTGACTTTTTTTTGCGTCTGATGGCATTTGACAACATGCAAGAGGCAGAAAAGCGACAGTCTTTTTCCACCTCTTTTGTCGTCTTGTAATGATTGCAATGATGTCAACCCTTCACAGCTCAGGATCAAGATTCAGAAAAGCCTGGAAAGCCGCGTAAGGGTCGTCGAGGAGACTCAAGCTTGCCGGGAGCAATATAGGAGTGCAAGAGTGGAGCAGGACAAACTTTACATTGACACCATCAAATCACATAAAAATATAAAATCACATAAAATCTTTAAAAAAAACACATATATAATATAAATCAGACAAAATCACCCAACATCAAGACACACACACACACAGACACACACACACACACTTTGCGGGCCCACATATCCAGCAAAACCATGTTGAACATTTGGGGTTCCAAAGGAGTCCCTTCGGACACATTCCTATCAGGTCCTATCACGTTGGAAAGGCCGCAGTCGAAGGGGTATATGGCAGAAGTGCCTACTTAGCCTACGTATTTGGTCAGCCGTGGCAATGGACCTGTTGTGTACATTGAGATCTTGCATGCCTTTTCAGAGCTGCGTCTTTCACTGACTCTACCTGATGTAGGTTGAATACATTGACAAGATAATGACCCGAGGATGGGACAGAAACCGTGAATGGCAGTTCTACTTCTTGAATGCAAGTCTCAACGGATTAATGTGAGGACGGCTTACTCTATCATGCCTGCTGAATGCCTTGGCGCCTCGTCGACATGAGGGTTTGGTGTGATGCAGTTGAACAAAATAGATGTCTGGTCAGATACCTGATATGCATGATGAGTGCATACCATTGTAATCCATTTCAAATCTACAAGATCCTAAAAGGATGTTCTACATTCTACAAGTCTTCAGTTCCCTCTCCTGTTGGTTGTTTTCGTCCACAGATTAAGACTTGTATTCATGGCAAACGACCAACCAATTCGGAGTGGACTAGATTCTTGGATTCTTGCGGATTTGGTAGGAAACTAGAGGACAGACTTGTTTGAAAGATGTGGTTGGTGGGACGTCACAACTCACAACTAAGAAATGAGAGTGGCACTAGACTTGTCACTATGTCACTCCATCGTAATTCTGAGAATGTCAGTGTCAAGCTTGCCTGCAAAGCCAGAATTGCTCTCAGTGCTACATCGCAAGGATGGGCCGACAGCAACAACCGGACGACTGCTTTTCATGACAACGAACGATAGAGGTGCCGTTGAGACATGTTGAGACGCTGTTTCTGTGAGGATCAAAAAACCTCGCAGTGGAATGCAGTGAACAGTTCCGTCCTGTTTTCAGGTCGCTGGTTTAGGTCAGGTCCGTCAGGCCCTTCAGGTCCTTTGGTGTCACTAGTTTCTTGTACCCAGAGCAACGAGGACAGGGACAAGACAACACACCTAGCGAACCAGCACGGATGTGCAAAAACGGACCAGCACCAGCAGAACCAGCAGCAACAAGAATAAGAGCAGCAACAACAATAACATCAGAAAGATTGCTCTCCAGTAGTCCTATTTCCAGCCAGCGGCCTGTCAACTTATGTTTCAGTCAAACTGAGATTGCAGTGACTACCTTTGTTGTTCATTCATCCGTATCAACGACCATGTTTTGCACTGTTGTGGGGAACAGATTTTAAAGTTTCTTGATCTAAATAGCATCAGGGGATTCCTGCGCGCTTCTCTGTGCAGATGCGCTGGATCCTGCCCTGCTGAGAAGTGGACGAATCGACTACGACACTTGGCCAGCAGTGCAGCATGTAGCACGTGGACGAAATCAATGTGGCTTTGCAATCTAACATATTTACATTCCTTCTGCACATCTTATCTCCCTTTTCCGCAAGTGGGGTCTTTGGCTTGTTAATTTCTGATTGCAAGTGTAATCATGTAATCTTGGCTGCTCACTTGAATGTTTTGCAAGCAAGACAACCTATCAGCAACACGGTGGAACTTATGCATCTTTTAGATTTAGTGATGATCATTCACACATGGATTGGGAGCACACAGGACATGGGCAGACTGTTGTGGAATGCTTAAGGAACTCGAGTTCAAGCCAGCTGTGCCGGAGCAGATCCAACGTTTGTTTCTGAGGCTCCTTTCATGCAGTTGGATGTGTTCTTGGATCCTGTGTGTATTTTCTGAGGGTAGGACTGGACAGCCGCAAAAAGAGACATGTTTGAGGTTGCTACTTTCGCTGGCATTTTGTTTTCGTTGTGCCCGCTTGGATTTCCTTACTGAAAGCAGTTGCTGATGAGTGCTGGAGCAGCATAGGTACATTGCAGGAGGTTTTGCATCCAGTGTTCTGTGGGTCTATCAGAAATTTGACTAAACATTTCATTGTACCTTACACATGCGGTGTTCTATTGCATCTTTGTGTGCAAGACACTGCACATCAACATGTCTTTTGGACAAGTAGCTGAAATTAGAGACACTTTACTCACACTGCCCTCTAAAGCGCATCCCTGAGGTTCTACTCTGACTTCAGTTGTCCACAGGGCTCAAACAATGACGCCAAGTTGAAAGAAGGCTGACAACCGGGACGACAGCAGGAAAATTAATTAGAAAACCATCTCTCTGGTTTCACCTTGGTTTGCAGGAGGCACAGCAGACCTAGCGGAGCGCTTTGCTCAGAGCTTGGAGGAGCGCTCATGCGGTGGAGGGTAGCAAAGAAGTGTCACGCAACTCAAGCAGTTGGTGACTTAAAGAGAGTAAGCCACTGTAAGCTGCTCAAGCAGAGTTGGGACAGAGGTAATTCAGCACAGAGGCTTTCCTTCTACTTTGTTGCAGAGATGTCATGGATTTCGTTTGCTTCCTTGCTGGCCAGCCTCCAATACAGAAGCTCTGCTTCAACTTGGGCCCTTGGCGCCTAGAAGTCTCACATGAGGGGCGATCAAAGCGCCAGGAATCCGGCCGGAATTTCACGACCGCTGATGTCCAGAGGCCAATCTCCAACAGTTCACACGCTGAGAACAGCTATGACAGCAATCGTTCGGCATTTGCATCAGTTCGGCCTTGGAAGACGCAGATCAGCAGTCAATGCCACATGACGCTCTGTGGTCAGTGTGTTGCGCCAGGCACTTGATGAAGCGGAAGAAAAGCCCAGAACGGGCGGTCTCTGAAGTGCAAGAGCTGCTCGGAAACCCAGTTGCTGAAAGCAGCTGAAAACTTTCTCCGCTGGAGAAAACCTAGCAGAGTTGTTGTGAATAGCAAGCCTTGGAAGGAAACTGAGTGATACGTTTTTTTTCTTCAAGTTTTCTTATTTTCTCCAAAACTCGGTTTCACCGTCAAGTACCACCCGAGGAACGGGGACTAGTTCATGGGGATGATCGTAATAAGTAATAACCTTATGTGAATTTCCAGGTAGTAGAAGTGATTGAAGCAGCCAAATCGATGCCTGTGAGACTCGTGTTTGAGTGTGAGCTGCCAGCAAAGCAGAGCAAACATCAATAACATCATATATATTTATACGTACAGTATTTTGAATATATATATAATTATATATATATACATAGAGCAACATCACAGATTTGTTTCAGTTTGCAAGGTAGTTCGCCTCTTTTGCACGACCAAGGATCAATGCCTTTAGGGAGGAGGCCCGGTCTCAGGAGCCCGGGGATCTATGTTCTAGACTTTCTGGATGGAAGAGGATTATTTGTAACATCTTGTAATCATGTAGCAACATGTAATGAATTATGTTGTCAGTCGAAGTTGTTTCATGGCGAACAGCAGCATTACAGATCTATTTCGTTCTGTGCTTCGGCTTTTGGATGCCTCGTTTTCCTCTATCCATAGAAGGCATGCGGAAAGCAATGAGACTATGAGTGGTTAAAGAAGTAACCCCCAAACAAATTGCTTGTCAAAACCAAGATCCGAAACCGTCGGTTGGGGCTCAACCTTCGGTAGACAGGACAGCGGACAATGACACAAGAAAGCTTCATAGCCTGCTTGGGATGTTCAATAAACCAATCAAAGGTGAGAGGAAGCTGGGAGAAGAACTATTCTGAAACATCCTGAACAACAGCAGATCTGACAAGAGCAATACAAAATCTTGTCTGGTCCACCGGCTATAGTCCGGCATTTTGGTCTGGCGTGATAGGAGAAAGCATGAAGATGCTGAAGATCGTGATCATGAATTGCTATGCTGTACATACGACAGAGCGAAGCCGAGTTCTTCTGAATCCACAGAATCAAACATATCAAACCATCAAATTATAGCATATTATAATCATATTATAGCTACATGTCACTATGTAGCAACATGTCACTACAGTCTGAAGAAATCGGTCAAATCATGGCAGTATCTCCACTGTTTTTGCTGGCGCCAAAAATCGATGTGTTCCATCGGCACAGCATGGACTTGAATACACTGTGGTGAAGGGTGGGCTGCCAATGAGTGAACAAAATCTTTCTCATTTGGACAGCCCATTCTTACCAAGTTTTATTCAAATGATGCCCTCGCTTACCTTGAACAGCTTGGCCAAATCATGGCTCTTCAAGCATTTGCTTTCATGCGAAAACGCACGGGACACAGGTGTGGGAATCAAGACATCACTCTCCGGAAGATATGTATATATATAATATAATTATATATAAATATTATAAGCTTTCAGAGCCTCGATCTCTCCTTACAAATGGATGTCCAGACTGTTCGTCAGAGGCAACCGTAAATCTTTCTCAGTTTCGTTTGATGTCTATCCAGGAGACCACTCTTACTGGTCAGTGCCTCGCTTAGGCCTACGTTTTTACTCGCTTAGGACTACGTCAGTGATATATGGCTACAGTCTCAATAGAAAGATATATCGATGTATTTGAACATGATTTCAAGAGGCTTGTACATGTGTATTAGAGATGATCATCAGGTTGCTGCTGCTGCTGCTGCACCGTGCATGTGTGTGTCGTAACATCTTTTGGTAATCCCTGCGCAGGCAGGCTTATCCGAGGTTCGTCTCGAAGTTTATTGGCAGAGGTCCTGTTTATTCTTTCTCCAATGCATCTAAGTCTTGGCCCCCCTGGCCCCAGAGTGTTGACAGGAGAGGATCATAAAATGTTGTATCCTTTTCCCGGTCCCCAGTCCTCGGTCCCCTGTCCTCCCCTAAAAGAATTAACCCTAAAGGTGTGTATCCAATGGAGTCCAATGTGTTCGATGTCGTGTCTCTTACCTCTACTTGTTCCGTCCCTGGTCCCCTGTCCATGTTAGCCCTGAAGGTTGAAGTCCTCATCTCAAAATGTCGTCCTAAGTGAGTGAAAAAGTCGTCCTAAGTGATCCTTTGACCACTCAACACTGGACTTTGATTTCACGCTTGAGCAGTGTTCAATGTTTGCACCCAGTCTCTTTTATCGACATCCGAAGCAGGTTTGTGTTGGTATGTGCAAACACGCAGACTTCAAGTCAAGCCAAAACATGCAAGGTCAGACCTGCTCGTTATTTATATCACCTTGACCTAAGTCTTAACCAATCTCCTCCGAAGACAGCGTGGTAACATGTGAAACAGCGTGCATGCACAGTAAAAGTTGACATCTTTCCAGCTGCATGTTTTATATGGGTAGAACGTTAGGTGAGTCGTGAACCAGAAACACGCTGACAAACTGACGGACTGAAAAGGCCACATTGCATAATAATTGCTAGGTACTACTGCACATGTTTGTGCTTACGAGAAAACATATCACATCGATGTCCCGCAATCGATATAAGAAGCCTTTCTTAGTTGATTTAGTGGTGTGCAATGTGCGATCTTTCTACAGCCAGATGAGGAACGGCAAACTTCACAGAACTTCGGGCACCGAATGACCATCTCAAGTCTGCAAGATACCAATTCTGGTAGCACAAGCAACTGTCCAATCATACCCTTCTGGTACAGATCTCCCAATGGCATCGATGCCTAAAGTGGCATCACAGCGTGCTGGGTGAGCGGGTGGCAATGCAGCTGGAGATTGTGGTGTCTGGACTTCACTCAGCTTCATTTGGAATTTACATCTTGCGTTGCTTTTTTGAGCTTCACATATTTCACATATTTCAAATATAGTTCATTTCACATAGTTGTTTCACTAGGTGAAAAACAGATTCCAACAGGGATTTTCAAAACCTTCCAGGCCTTGAGATACTGTCGAGTTTTGGGTTCATGCCTGGTGAATATTTTTGGAACCCTTCCTTGGAACCTGACCGATAAATTGTGGGACGTGAAATTTGTTGAACTGTTCCTGATCTGTGCTGTCACTGGCTCACGTCCAAGCGATTCCGAACCTATTTGCCAAGACACCTTAGCAGTCCTTAGATGATCTTGGCAGCTGTTGGGGTAACAGAGCGGACGACCTGGCTGGTTCAGAGAATCCATTTATAAGATTAGTCGCTCTTGTTGGTGCTGAAATTAGTCAACATTCACCGGAAATCAGCAAGACAAAAAGGCTCTAAGGCCTGATATCTGAGAGTCACAGTGAGATTTAAACAAATTGCAGTTCCAGCTCAATTCATTTTGGACTCCAAACATTTTAATCACTAGCTTGAAGCGCAAATATGTGATGTGTTACTTGAACATACTTGAACCAAAGCACCAGTGTGACTGCAATCAACTATATACTCTGTCAAAATACCCACAGCCAGGTTGGACGATCCGCCTGATCCGCCTGAGGTGGTCAAAGCAGCAGGGCTGAAGCACGACGGGCGACACTGCGTGGAGTTTCTTCTTGATGGCCATGGCCCAGAACGTACCCCATGGGTGGAAGACTCAGCAAAAATGTTGACATAGCATGGACAGTGTTGGGAGGCACCAACGCTTTCATTTGAAATCTACTGGATACCTTTCAGATCCCTACCAAATCCAACAGATGATTCGTTTTGAGCATTTCACACTGTGACACGTCATGGTCACTTTGGGGATTTTCGGTGCTTGTCCATTGGGTTGCATGTGCCAAAGATTGTGAAGAGCTACAACCTCGGGTGTCTAGAGTTTAGCTGCTACTTGCAGGTGGAAGACTTCTACGATGGTGCTGGCATGGTTGTTCAACCCAAGAACTTCCAGAACAGCAAGTGGCTCGGCACCAACGACGCGCGCTTCTTAAGACCTTGAGAGGATCCTGTACCTAGAGATACAATGTGGGTGTGACATGAAAAACACATAGTCTCCCCAAAAATTCTCCACGTCAAAGTAGGACCTTTTGATACCTTGAGGGTCTACTTCCTGGTTGCCCACAAATGTATCCCAACCCGCTTCAGCGATGCGTTTGAGTTGCGGAAGACAAGTGACAAGATCCTCAGACCACGTCCATGCACTCGTCTTGGAAAAACACATCAGAAGAGACCCCAACTACAATGGGGGCCAACTTCTGCAGTACACTCTGTCCATCTGCCTACAAGTAGGCAGACAAACAATGATGGATCAATGAGATAAGCGGATATGTGGATGCAGATATATTATATATATTGACATGATGTTTATCGATGGACGTGACACGTCATTCAGATAGGATGGCCAGGATGGGTAGGAATGTATATATAATACATGGATAGGACTATGCGTTCGCCCCAGAATATGTTGGCGAGGCATTGCACTGTATGTGCGTCGCAGCGTTTGGGCTTCTATTTGCTCACTTGCTTATGCATTCAGTTCAAGAAGTCACAATGAAGTCACCACACGTACATTCTCAGCGATGCATGTTTTTCACAAGAATATAGTTTGTGATCCCAACACCTTCGAATTGAAAGTGTCACACTTCCGGTATCATTTCCACTCAGGAGGACCATTGCGCTGAAGGGCAGTTTGGCAAATTATGAAGGTGCAATTGTTGTGGGAGGCAAGGATTTTTTTAAACACATAAGAAGACAAAGGAAACTAGACATTCTCACATTGCAAGTTTACAGGCATGATAATTGTGGGCAATCACTTGTCTCCACTCTACATGCCTGGTGGCCTGGTAGCTCTCCTTCTGCCTTGAGCATTTGAATTGTCTGGAGTTCAAAGGCTGTTTCAAGTCAAATTTGTTTGACCAGCAAGAGTCAATCTCAAAGTCTGATACATGCTGGCATGCTAAGTGCTATGCCTTTGTTCCCTTTATTTGTATCGCCTGATTATGGACCTCATGAACGGTGATGCACATGCTGTTGAGGTGCTTTCCTTCACATGACCCTCTACCATCAGAGGCCTTGGTGCTGAAATTCACTCGTGTGTCGTGAGTTTGCAATGTGGAACTGTGGAATCAGTACACAGCGTCACTCTGGAGAGATCCTTTAATTGCAGCCTGTTTTGCTGAAGTGTCAAGTTTATCACGTGAAAGGCATCACACCATTCCATATTCATTCAGCACCCCAAAAAATGGTCCCCCAATCGCAGGACTTTGAGAGACGACAAGAGAGCGGCGGAGGCTCACTTGCCCTTCTCCCGCATTGCCAAGGGCTTCAGCGGATGGGTGGCCCTGGAGCACAAGGAAAAATACGGAGGTCTGGAACAACTGCGCGATGCTGACGTCATGCAATGTCATGCAAATTGTTTTCCGGGCATTGGGGTGCATGGGTTAATGACAGAGCCTCCAGGCTTTGCTCTTTGTTTTCCGTTCTTTTGATACTCTCCTCGACATTTGACTCGCTTCCTAATTTTTGCACTAGCACTTGCCAGGCAAAGTATTCATAGATGTGAACCTCAAGGAGGGAGTGCAATTGCCCCTTGGGCCAGCGCCAGTACCAGCTTCAGACCACGCTGCAATGGATCCACAGGTTGCGGAGCAGATGCTTGTCATTGCAGTACATCGAACTTTAGAGACTCTGTCAAAATCTGTCAAGGTCTTGGAACTGGTTGCAATCCTGCGATCAGTAGTCTACAACTCACAATCGAAATAGAATGTGTGTATATACTGTAATATATATATATATATATATTATCAACATAAACATGCTAAAATATTCAAACAATCCTTAAGAGTGAGGTCCAAAGAGACTTGGTTGAATCAGTTTAATTATAGTTTTATATGCTGCTTTTTGTTCTTATTATTTGTAGCACGACTCAGGATGGCGATTCTGGCAAGCATTCAATCCAGCAAATCTTCTGAGACTCACAAGCCTCATCAGCCCAAGGCCACAGGAAATGTCGGTTGGGTGACGCAAAAGTTTTTGTTTTCTCTCTCTCTCTCTATATCAAGCGGAAACAATATCACTTTCTCGGTTCGACGAGTCATTTCTCTACTTTCGATATATTATTGACAGCATTCTTGTCGTATGCAAGTAGAATGTCTCGCTGCACCAGGGGGTTATTGACATTATTGACGTTGATAGCACACTGATAGCACACTTTGCACATTTTTAGATTCATTTTAACACATTTTAACACATTTTAACACATTTTCAATACATGGACCAATGGATTTTTATGGTCTCCCTGGGACATCCAGGCACCACAGGCGACCCAAGCCGCATGGCCAGAGTGGCCGACGCAGGCGTGGACACAAAAACTCTACGGGTTGCACTTGCTGGCAGAGACCTTGCAAATTCGGAACAATGGCTGTAATGACTGTAGGATACTGTAAAATACTGTAGGATTATAGTCAATTATGATAATTATGGTTGTTTGTTGTTTGAAATCTCACTATCGGCTTGTTTTGACTGGCCTCTTTGTCATGTTGAAGGCACCACCTACGTTGCCCATATCAACAAGCCAGCCTGTGGCAGCACCAGCGCCCGTGGCGCTCAAAGATGCAGAGCCGCCACAGTGGCTCCATGTCTAGTGAGTCTAGTGATGTCAAGCACGAAATTGTTGGGTTCAAAGAACATACTTTCAAAGAACATGAAAAAACATAAAACGCTTTGATGATTTTGATGTACATGGTGAATTCATCAGCAAGACACTGAGCTGCGGACCTGAGAATTGTCTCTCTCTCTCTCTCGGTTAGAATTTGCCAAGTTAATTCGACGTTGTTGAACGGTAACCAACTCCACGCTGAAGACATATGAAGACATTATCTCATCTATACCAACAGTCATTCCACATTCTACATGTCAGACACCGAAATGTCAACCACAGCGCGCTGCAAAACAATCTTCAAAATCTTCTTGGATACTCGTATCCTACACTGGTGCAGCTAACCAGCACCAATCTGTCCAGTCCCAGGAGAAAAACCAGAAAATCAAACCGAGTCCATTCACTGGAGTAGAGTTGTCCTTCGCAGACCTACGATCTATATCTTGCATGAGAGCAGGTGTTTTGCCCTAGATGCCCCCAAACTCAATCTTGGAAACAAAAGACACCATGGGACAGGCATTCTTGACAAGCAATTCAGATGCGGTTGGCATCCGGATGACCAGACTGGTTTAACAAAACCAGGAAAAAACACAAAAACACAAAACCATTCTAGGGGTGGCTCTTTTCCTCGGGTAAACATCGCATTTCACGGGTAAACACCGCATTTCACGCAAACTTCACGGGTACTTCACGCTATTTCACGCTAAAGATTTTTGGGGGTTTGTCTGGTCCTTCAGTGGCCACACCGAGTTCGCGTTGGACATTAATCTGTGGCATGAGCTTCTGGCAGTGGCATATTTCCAAACCGTTTAAGGTCCCATGTTTTGCCCGTGAACTCTGACAGTATATTTGCAAATAGGGTTCCTTGATTTGTTTCCTGTCCGGAAATTCAATACTTGTAGGATCTTGTAGGTTTCAAATTCAGTCCCAAGGGCCCCTACACGCTTGGAAATTGGCATGATAAATACATGTATGATGATTTTGCACTTCATTGTGCTTCCAAGGTCCGTAGATTTCTTCACAGGGGTTAAACATCAACATTGGGAATGTCGATGTTTAACCAACCCAAACATCAACATTGTCCGCGTAGCAGGTAAACTTCAGCATTGACGCCCAGGGTATATGTATCGTTGAGTGAAATCAAAACAAAATCCTATGGGAAATTCTGTGTCAAATGTGATTAAAAGTGATATCGCATGAGTTTGACTAATAAAGCACGTCCAAGATAAAGATCCGGCAGCAGTACAAAAGGTTGATAAATTTGCTGCACATCATGTCTCAAGGGTAAACATCGACATTGATGAGTAAACATCGACATTACACAAATGCGTAGGTAAACTTCGACATTAGTGAAATGCGTAGGTAAACATCAACATTGGACTCTCAGGGATATATAATGATATAAAAAGCATGTAGCAAACCCAGTGTGCAAGAGCCTTCACTGTTCGTAGTGAACCCCCAAATTTCAGGCTGTCATGGCCCAGATTCCGGGCAGCTTTGGATTCGGGCTCGGATCTACGAGCACTACCTGGCCATAGCACTTCAGCAAGTGGGCGAAGGAAGGCCGGAAACCAGCTCAGAAACACAATATGGTAGTGACATGCCGTACACGCCGTACACTTTATGACAGTGTATTGACAGATATTGACAGTGTATTGTAAGATAGTCACACGTATTTTGAGGCGCCTTTGCCCAAGAGAGCATAATTGTAACAAATGAACTGACAAAATCCCTCCTTGAGATCAGCTATGATTACTCGCATCATATGATACAGGTACATGTTGAGTAGCTCGCAGCATCGCAGCAGACTTAATGCCTGTCAGGCTCTTTTGATTGCAATGAACTATCCTGGCACCGCAGCAGAGCGCAGATGTGGTGGAAATGACTTGGACAAAGTCACTGGAATCTTGTTGAGGTGGGACTTCGTGGCTAAAATCCGCGATTTGACTGGGATTCACGAAGAAATATACTGCAGCCCTTTGTGATTTCCGGCGAGAGTTGGAATCCAAGGACCATGAGCTTCAATAAATCTGCCACTGGTCAAGAAATCGATAGCATAAACACTGAGCACGCTGAGATTTTACAAAACTGGAATAGTTTACAGACTGAAATGTTCTGGAAAACCTCAGCCTGAAAATGAGACAGGAAGCCTCTCTGTCAACGCAAAATCGGTTTTTCTGTGTTTTTCTTCCCATGCAAAGGTGTGACACAAAATTTGAATTTTGCCTCAGCGGCTTTCCGCAGCACTTTTGCAAGTTGATCAGTACAGGCTTGGCTTTCCAGATGAATGGATCTTGAGCCTCTCTGATTTTCGAGAGCCAAGCGGGCCAAGCACTGCAAGACAAATTGATCGACCCAGCAAAGCCAATATCATAGCACCTCGTCAATTTGCGAGTTGCTACGCTGGATGATTTCTCAGCAAACCTTCCTTTGATTTTTCAGGTGTTCTCAGATATTTCTCATTTCGCTTGGTATCCTTTGGGGCAATGTAGAAAATCTCAGGCGGGAATAGGACTCATCAGGTGCTCATTAGGCTCTCAGTTGGCCCAGGCAACCTTTTGCCAAACGGATTTTGTGCAGGTCACTTCCGTCCTCGCAGACCTCAAACGGATATGAAAGAGTCTTGCGCATCTGAGGCAGCTTTGCGCTGGTTGACACACAACGCAGTGGCAGGACAGCGGCACAACCTGATTTGCCAGGGTGAAAAGGGTGAGAAAGGATGTATGTACTTCCGGTGGTTGAATGTCTTCAACGCAGCAAAGCTGGCCACCACGTAACAAAGGGCGACACAGGATGTGGTCCATTTTTTCTTCAAGATCCATGCGAAGATTATTCTGTCAATTCTGCCATAACTGCCTTGCGGCACTCCCATGTCTCACTTTTAGAAAGCGACGCGTTGTATTGTAACGAACGAAAGAGAGGGACAGGGAGATAGAGAGAGAGAAACAAGAAAATGATGATCTTGGTTAATATTGGTGTATCTTGCATGTATTGCTTACACATGAATTGTTTCCAAAAGAAATCTGATGGTGTTCAGATTTAGATTATGTGTTCATCTGGACGAAGTTCTTCTCTTGAGCCTCTTGAGCTCATAGAATGACATCAGTTCCACATGGTTTAACCAAATCACAGGAGATGTCCTCTTCTTTCACTACAGTGGTCACGGTGTACTGCATGAAGATGCTACAGGGGAGTTGCTGGATGCCTATTGTCCTTCTGATTTTGCAGAGGTTGGGAAAGATCCGATGTGACCTCTTTTTCTTGATTCTTTCTATACAATGCTCGAGAATCAGGGACAGTACATTGTCCTGTTTCATCAAAGTCCTAGTCTCTTTTTTAGGTGGTATACCTAGTAGATCCGAGTAGCACAATAGGTATTTCCCACTGTAGCTGATATTTCCCTCGCAACCTTTTCCGTTTCGACAGGCTGGGTATTTGCCAACTCGGGACTGCTATGACCTGATTTCCTCGTTGCCAGCTGGCGTCCGGCTCACTATGTTGGCCGATTGCTGCGCACCTTGATAGCAAGTTGAAGGTTGAAGTATCCCAGACCAGTGGTCTAGCGCAGCAGAGGAATCCCACAAATTGCAGTTCATCATCCACAACCGCAAGATACTGCAAGTTTGAAGTGAGGCGTTCTTGTTTCATTTTTATAGGGGAATTGTGGGATTTGCGAGAGCTGTGCCAGCAACTGAGTATGTTGTTGAAGTGGATTCTCAAACCCACCACACTTTAAAAACTTTATACTAGGATTCTATTGGCAAAGCAATATTTTTTTTGTGACCCGCGACATTAAAACGCCGACTCCGGTGTGGCAGAGGTGCCTTGTGCATGTCCACAACTCCCATTCCTTTGGGATGCTGGGCACAAACAATGGATGGCGACGAGTCTCCCAACTGGAGCAAAAGCCGACGTGGTAGGTCTTGGTGGAAACAGCGAGGGCGAAATGACGCCGCTGCAGCTGGCTGAGGCTGGGTTGACAGTTGTTGAATCCGTGGCAGGCCAGATTGTACAAGAATTGTACAACAAGTATCAACAAGTACTAAGCCACTAAGCGGACTAAGTATACTATAGTATACTATGAAGTGCTTTTTTAATTTTTCGACTGAGCACGGTGGTTCATGGTTCCTGGCTGGTTCTGGGAGGTTCCGAAGGTTCCGGTGCGGGGTCTGGTGAGGTTCCGGCAGGTTCCTAATGTGGGTTCCCAGTGGTTCCGGAGGTTCCGCTGTGGTGGTTCCGACTGCTTGCCGAATATTCGAATATTTGAGGATTGAGCGCCGTACTAAATGTACTAAGTAAGCAAGCCTAGGTGGTATCCCCATCTATCCCCAACAGCAAAAGTGCTAGGAAAGTGTGAACACCTACCCAGCAGCCAGTTTCAACCTTGGCGACGGGCGACCCATCCCACAACCCACAACGGAACAAACCACACCGAACCTCCTCGCAAGGTTTTTTTGGCATATTTTGGATTGTTTTGTCTCATATCAATGTATATACATGCATAGACATGCTAGGCTCCACATCTAATGGGGAGTTTCTTTGGTAGTTAGATGATGTTAGATGTATAGCAGTTGGGCAAACGCAATACGCGTGAAATGTGTGAAGACACACGAGGCTCAAGCAGCTGAGCATGGACCAGTGACTGGAGCCTTCCTTCGGGCGATGCAGGAAATCGGTGGGTTTATACTGTTGTAGTGCGTTGTAGTTCTTGTCCTTTTCATTCTATACTTAGTGACTTAGTGCATGTTGGTGCCTTTGGACATGGAATGACATGCATGACATATAGAGGAAGCCTCATACAAAGCATTTCTGAGACGCTGACATCACACTCTTAGAGTTTCCTGTCAACTTAGTTTGCACCATATGTACTCTAACAGTAACACATCATTCTAATTCCAGAAACTCCAATCAAACATCTGGTGATATCTGGTGGTTCTTTCTCACCTTTCTCACCCAGATTTTATCCACTTGACGTTGACCCCGTTGACCCCGTTGACCCCGTTGACCCCGTTGACCCCGTTGACCCCGTTGACCCCGTTGACCCCGTTGACCCGACGCTTTCCATTGCCACTGCTGTGTCCAGGACCTGGCGGGACAGCGCAAAGGTCCAGTGACCTATGCAGAGCTCTTGGCCGAAGCCTCGCGACACCTGCAAGGCCAGGGCAATCTCCATCTCTATATATATATAATATCTCCATGAGTCATATGGATGTCACATGGATGTCATATGGGAGCCGATCGCAAATGCAAGTCTAAGAATTATGAAAGGGCATGTGTATTTCAGCATCCGCGATTGTAAAACCCTGCATCGCGATTGTTGGGCGATTAGTTCGCGATTGAGACAAACATTTGTTGTGTAAGAATCTGTAAGAGGAGAATTCAATTATATGATATTATATGGCATGATAATTAACTATGTTACGTTTCAGCCTTATTCTATTCGGGTCTGCCTAGACACTGTGTTCAATAGTGATAAGCGATAGCAAAGAAGAATCAGAACAGCAAAGTTCAAGTCCAACAACCCAGATCAATTCAATTTTCATATATAATGTAATGTCGATGGAATCCGCGATTGGTTCGCGGTTATTGCCCCGCGATGGTTAAATCCGCCTGAGCAGGCCCTGGCTCACGCCATGTCTCTAAATACTGTGATAAGTAGCAATGTTTTGACGATTCTCTGCCCAAAATGGTGTCGGATACGACAGAACCCTCCTGCGATTGATACACCGTTGGGATCGCGGTTGATTCGCGCTTGATCGGCGATTATAGCGGCCCCAGATACCTTTATTTTGATCAACACCCATATGGATTCGTATAGGCCATGTAGGTCATACTTGTAGATGCCATGGGCACCGAATTCATCCCAAATCTACATCATCATTCGCATGTCCATGTCAGGTCGTTTGTGGATGTGTTTGGTCGAGTGAGTCCAGTATCAACAAGTTGTCAGAAATCACCCGTTTCACCTGACATCACCTGACTATGAAATCTATATGAATAGTTTCGGAACTTCTGATCTTTTCAAACTTTTACCTTAGCGCATCTTAGCGCTCCAAGGCAGTCAGCATAGACTCTATGCCTAGTGCTGTGTTTCAACAGCAATTTTGGTCTCAAGAATTCTTTACAATCCTTTCCAAAAGGGTTGACAATGGGTGACGAAGGTGGTGAAGGGAAAACATACAGAGTTGTGAGACAACCTGAAATCCAAAAGATATTTTCCTTTGCTGCCTGCCTTCTTTTGCGGGGACTTCTGAGGCACCGCCCAAGAATTCTTGCAGCTCTCTGCCACTAAATTGTTCGACCCAGCTTCTCGCACCTTCCGCTTCTTCGATGCGATCTCTGAGTAGCGGCTTGATGCGGCTTGTAAGATTTCTATGTGGCCCAGCTTTTTCAGCATTCTGATGTTCATGGATTCTGTGCACTTGGATCCCTGACTTCTCATGCTTCACCTGCAAGTAGCTGTCAGACAATGATTTGTCATGATCCGTACATATCCGTACTGAACAACCGCTACCGAGATTGTACAATATTGATCCATATTGATCATCATGTGCAAATGCTTTCCACGCACAAGATCATGCTTTATCTCTATATATATATTATATAAGACATCATCAGACTATATCAGATTAATTAATCTTCTATGGCGTTTATATATTAAACATGGTATTTGTGGCCTATGAAAGCAGCAGCCATGACCCAGACCTGCATTCTCACATATAACCAGAACCCAAGCTTTCCCAACCATCTCTCAGGTACGTAGCAAATGCAGTGAATGCTCTGAACTGCACATTGGTTTTAGGTTTGCTGAAAAGACTGCAAGCCAGTGCAAGTCTGTCATTGTCGTTTACCATGACTTCACTCTTGACTTGGTGAAACTGCTTGAAAGTTCAGCGAGCCAACCACATGGACAATGAGAGACATCGTTGGAGCCAAGCAGCTAAAGACCTCTTTGAAGAGCGAGAGGAAGCAAAAATAATGTTCGGTGATATTGTGCGAGGGCAGATCGGTTGGTTCGGAAAGGTTGCCCGCGTAGAGATCGTAGAGCTCTCCTTGGATGCGATTTGACAAAAACACATAAACACAGACACATTGGCTTTCATGTGAATGTTGGATATTGGATACTCAGGAAGCGCGTGTGGCAGTCTTGAATTACAATATTACACATTGCCGTTTACGACGAAACGGGGTGCCAGACTACAACGAAACTATACACAATTCACCAATCATGAGCGAAGAAAGATGAAGAAAGTAAATCAGTCAGTAGTAGAAAACATTTGAAGACGGTCCTCAATTGATTTTAATCTTATCCGATATTTTATGGCACTGGCAAGAATTTGTCACAGTGCTCGTGCTGTGACATGGGAATCAACTTTTCTAGTCCGTCAATGCCTCCCACCCTTTCACTCGACATGACAAGACACCAGTTCCACCCTCTACTTTTTTCATGCCGAGTCATGCCCTTAATTGCATTTGATATCATTTGATCATATTTGAATACATTTGATCTAATTCCAGCTATCAAGGCGCCAGTTCAACAATGTTAGAACTTAGAACAACGTTAACGACGTTTAGCTCTGGCCAGGCCAGGCTGATGGAATTCCACAGTGCCATGGAACTGACGATGATCATCAATGTACCGACCCCGGAGCGCCAGCCTGGCCGCTCTTCCGAGATTCTGCTGATTCTGCTGATTCGGCTCAGGCTGCCAGCAAACTCCGCATCAGTGATGAAGAGCTTTATCACCGATTCGTTCTGCTGGCTAGTTCTGAGTATGCATGAAGTCCCTGATGAAGATTTGCTTCTAGTTTATGGTGTTTATGTTTCATTTGCGAAATAGGCCACTGGGACTCTTGCAAAGCGGGAGCTTTGAGGGCCTTCATGCTGGTCGGTAGTTCGCCCTTGCACTTTAGCTCTTTGCATTTTTGACACTTTAAACTAAGTTTCACCTTCCCCTAGATGAGTAGATCAACATTGTGAGCTTTCTTGCTGCTGGTACCGGACCTAGTCTTGATGTGACAAGACTCGTCATGTTTCTTCATGGCAGGTCACGCACATTCAATCTAGCCACACGCTCAACCGGGTTGGGTTTTGAGTCTGATGAGATCCTCTACCAAGAGCTGATCTTTGGGTGTCAGATGAGTCGTGATGTCACCCTTTGCAAACTTGCAGCATCTTGCAGCAAAGCAGCTCCGACCTTGCTTTACTGTACGTGAGTTGCTCGTTGCACTAGCAGCTTCCAAGCTTTGCGTTTGCAGTTTTTCAGCGGCCGAGGAATGGGCAAAGAAGCCTTCCATGTACGAGATATTTCAGTCGCTTTGAAAGCAAACAGCTTTCTCCTTTTCTTATGAAATTAGTGGGGCATGTAGGGGCATGTCATCCTTGTCTAAAGTCTCAAAGAGCTTGATTGCTAGCAGTTGCCTCTTCACTTTCCTCAACCAGTCAATTTTACATGCAGCATCCCAAAAAACGATACACTACGTAAGCGTGGCTAAGTGAAATTACTCAGCAACTTGATCCAATTTGTTGGCAAAGTTTGGCACAGATTCTGTGGAGATCTGTGGAGTAAGGTCATTGTCACAGCTTTGGCCAGAGTGAATTGTGGTGACCTCAGAGATGTGACGCTTTTTGGGATGAAAAACGACGCCTGCTTGGTAGCAAGATGCGAAAGGGCCTTTTTCCTCATTGATTTTGCACAACGCACGGTGACGAGATTTCTGCATGTATTGCTAATGTATTGCTAATGTATTGCATAGTTGGCGGCACCTGGCAGCTTGTTTGCCTGATTGATGGGAAGAGGAACTCTGATTTTTTGGATTTACCAAGGATTTGTTCATGTGGATTCGGGGTTTCATTTTTGTGGGTGCGACTTCTGTAGTACTTTGACAGCGGACAGGTGATCGGATGAAACGGCTGAGGTGTGGATGCCAATACCATGAGTCGCTTTGCGGACTGTGCTGTTCAGACCCTGCCACAGGCCAGACCTCAACTTGATTCAGCTTGTCTGTTTGGAGCTGCTTCCAAAACCCTTACCGGTACGACATCTCACCACTGGAATTTGATTTTGGTCTCAGACTTCTGATACTTCTGTGTGAGTTGTGGCTTCATTCACCAAACCAAGAAGGATAAAAAGGGAACTCCGGACAGTGCAGAAGCATCAGGCGACACCATTGGAACTAGCCAGACTGATGTACGCCTGCATGTCAGGGAACCTGAGAGCTGGACTCTTTTATCTGTTTGCAATATGTGGAAACATGTGGAAACATGTGGAAACATGTGGAAACGAATTACGCCTCATGATGTCATGCATGATTTGGCCCTGTATCCCCAAAACTGATGAAACTAAGTTGCCACAGTGATCAGCATAAGCTCTTGGCATGCAAATGTATCCGATCCTATCCACAATATCCTTCAGCGATTTAATATGATTCAATTACCTTGTCCTGGTACTTATGATAGATATCCAGATGCGCAACCATTTCTTTGGTGACAACTTGGCAGCCGTGGCAAACATATCGATGTTTCTAGCCCGCGTTGCATTCAGCGGATGTTGTACGTATTGCTTACAGTACAATCTGAATCTCTTGCCCCAACAAATCCCAACAATGGCTTCCCCATCTCCTTTGATCTAGCAAATGGTGGGAAATGTCCAAAACATGCACTAACGTAATAACGCTGAGAACGTAAGATGTACGTGTGATTCCACATTCCATCGCTGCATGTTCAGATATGTGATATGTGTGACATGTGACCACCTGCTCCTGAGTCGAGCCTTGGAGAAGCAAAAGAATTGAACGCATCGACAAGCTAAGGAGTGTGTCGTGCCATGCCCACGACTTGTTCACTGCATGCGTTTTGCAGAACCGTGAGCAGGCAAGGGCGAAGAGATTCAAAATGAACTTAAACATAACTGACGGAACCATTCCACCGTCTTATTTAACCTTTGAATGGTGCACTGTTTTATGTCACACTCCTATGAATTATGACAGTCTGGCCAATGTGCACATGACATAGTGAGTTTGTCGGACAGAAGCAAAGGGCGAATCAAAGCATGACGCCACAGGAGAAAACAGGATTTAACATGGTGCATTTTTTTCTTTTGTTGTTGCGTTTGCTGGTGTGCAAAACAGTTGCAAAACATGCATTCAAACACGCGTATCGTGATCAGGATTTCCAACTTTGTCGTGAGTGATTTGAAAACAGATCATAGTCGAACTGAAACATGGAAGATCCTCGACAATCCCTGATGTTTTTCTCACTCCCCCGCACGGTGGACACTTGCTCCCGAGTCACGTCACCTGGCCACACGTGGCAAAGTAGGGGTGGAATGTCCAGAATTCATCAGAATTCCACACTTCTTGGATTAACAGATTCGCATTCGGGTCATAGTTTCACCATGTTTCACCATGTTTCACCTTTGGAGAATACACAAGAGCGAGGCATCTTCAATGGATCCCACAGGGCTCTCCAACGCCGCTTATGCTTTTGGCCAATGCTTTGAGGTGGGATTCGGGAGAAAGATTCGGAACTCTTGGTACATTCAACTTTCGATGCCAAATTGGTGGCAGGATAAAGGAATCTTGATAGATCATATAGATCATAGATCTTGTTCTAGGTTTTCATGGTGTTCCGCTGACATGTGCAGTCAATGCTGTCAGCTCTGACATTTACAGAAACATAGAGAAACATGGACTTGCGTTCCAGGTCGCAGAGGTATCGCACTTGCGATACTTGCAGAAGATTTTCCGTCACATACGGCTTGCCTGGACCTTGGGACTTTCACGAGCTTGCTTGTTTGGGGACTTGTTCCCGGCAGCTTGTCCACAAGAAGGGGCAGTTTAAGGTTCCCACTAGATTCATCAAGAGAATGGCACTTCTGTACAGATTCGTATATGTAACATGTATCTATACAGGCTAAGCTAAGCTACTGCTAAATACTCCCTTAGTCTCTCTTCCGTATCAAAGAGGAAATGCCTTGACTACCTCTATCCGTAGGTATGCCGAACAGAATTCACATGGCTGTTGATGGTCTACCAATTTCAGCCAATCTGAATTTGCTGCTTGTGATATTTTCGGACACTGGAGAAAGATGGAGAAAGTAGCAAGGCCGGAAAAGAGGAGAGCATAATTTGTTCGACTCTTGTCCCAGAATAGCTTGGAGACACGCCCTTCCTGGTCACCCTTTTGGCGTTTGCGTTTCTGAACACAAGTTGACACTGACAGGTTTTCTTCAGGGATTCCCGGGCCTGCAGCACCTCATACACCCATGCATTTTTTTTCATCAATTCCGATGATTCCCAGTGGTATCCAGATTGGCGACGCTCTCTGCACACCAATTTGTGGTAGTCTCAGGCTTCAATTGCAAGTTTGCCACTTTTCCTACCGCGGGAGATTGTCCGGATGCTTAGTCATAGTCAACCTCTTCAGATTCCTGGCAAGAGAGGAATTCAAGCTCCAAGTGTTTTACTTCAGTTATAAAATTCACAATCTCTAAACACTGTACAGTTGGCTCCTGAGATTTTGGCTCGATCTGATCTGAGATTTTCAGAGCTTTTGAAGAGCTGCTGCCGCAACCACGCATTCTTGTGGTCTTGTTAGTCTTGTTTGCTTTTCGCACCTTCCGCCTTTGTTGCGAATTTCGTGGTGTGGAGTCCAAGGCGACTCCCAGCATCAATGTCCCAGGCAACAGCTCGCCAAGCGCAGCGGAGTCAGAACTTGCGAGCTGCGGGACACTGCGGGGTTTGCAGGGCTGCGCCATGCTGCGCCATGCTGCGCCCAAAAGTTCTTGCCAGTACAGTACTGCAACAGCACTGGCAGGCCCGCCGTTGTTCCAGTGGCCTTTCGTTGCGGCTCGAAGGTGACCAGCTGGAAGTGGGGGAACAATGGTCATGGATAGAGGGTCCTGGTCTGCAGAGGCAACCAAGTGGTCTGCAAATCTCAGCAGCCCTGTGGATTCAGAAGCTTGGAAAGTGATGTGGCAACACTTCTGTCCCAGAAGTTTCGGGAGACCGTTCTAAAAGAATCCGAAATGTTGTGATCAGGGTGCTCAAAGGAGCCTCCACAGAAATCACAAATATCACACGAGTGTTCAAGCATCTTTTGCGCTCTCAACGATCTGAGAACCCGAGCCCTAGGACTTCGGTGGTGACTCTTTTGGCTGCGGCCATTGGTCTCTACTGACAAGCCTTAGTCAGGGAACTTTGTGTGGCAATCGATGCGAGGAGATGCGTTGGCACAGTTTGGCCCATCGCAAACTTGAGATTAAAGGTATACCGGTATGAGTTTCCTCTAGGATTTCAGGGCGGTTAACCCCCCTAAGGAGGGTTCATTTTCTGTCCTTCGAAAAGCTCGAATTTGCTGAAATGATGCTTTCGAAGTTCTTCCAATTTTCTAAAGAACAACTTTTGGAGACCTCTGAGTCGTAAGATGCTGATTTTCTGGAGAGTTTAGGTGCCCAAAATCTTGAAGCATAATTTTAGCATCTCTGGGAGTACGTTCATAGATTTTCTAGTGGTCCATGGTTTTCTAGAGAGGCAATCTTTAACAATCCCCTTTCGAGCATTTGAATGGGCTGAAGCGCCCGAGCTGGAGCGGACGATTTTGGCATGTTTTAGCCCTACCTTGGATTTTGCCATTGCCTCACAACATCGATCCAACCATCCCCCCTGGAATTTCCCCTATTAAATCAGTGGGCGGGGGAGGCCACGAAACAGGCATTTGTTTCGACACATATTAGGTGGGTTTTTTCTACACGTGTTGGGCGCTCTCCACCCAGAGGACCTTTTGAAAATGGAACTCCTGGGGGTTCCACATGTGGGAGCCCTTGGAAAATCAAATCCCTGGTATGTTTATTCTCATTGCGTTCTCTGTAAACGATTTTAAGCGCAGCTGAAATTAGAAAGGGTAATTTGTTTCTTTTATTTGTGTTTTTCTTTTTAGTTCTCGTGTTTGCCCAATCGCCAAGTTTTTTGCGCAAACGACTATCTTGACAAGAATTACATATTCCCCATGTTTGAGCCTGCTTGCAGCCATTTTGCATTTTTTTGGCCTGCCATGCTGGTACAGCAAGATATCAGTTTTCAATTCGAACCGTCCATATAGCTTGAAGAACCCCAACCACTCGACATGATTTTCCTTTAAGTAGCCATGATTTCCAGCACCATGTCATGAACAACATTTTTCTTTTTCAGAACTTATGAAATTTTGCATCCTTTTGTGATTCTTTTGTGTATATTTTTGAAGGGTCAATCAACAGCCACCGACAAACAATCAACATAATTTTACAACCTTGCATTTGTTGAAATGATTTTTTTGTGGGTTGTCCTGGGCGACTATGAATGGATGATACGTCCAATGAACTGGGCATTTTCGAAAAGTTTGATCGAAAAATTCGAAACCGCACACTGGGTTGGATGTTGGGCTCTAGAAAAAGGGTAGCAGTAACTTGAAGTGGCTTTCAGCATGTTTGATATCGCAATTGCAAAACTATGCAATTCAAGTACGGCGGTGTTTTTCTGAGGTCTGGTGCTAGATTTTCTTGGGTCCCTAATTTATACAGCCTACATTTTCTACTAGAAAATCACAGGCCCCAATCTGACCCGGTGAACTCGCACAGGGATTTAAAGGTCATATGTACAGTTCTACAGTGTGCAATCTTGACAAGGTCACGAGGTTTGAAACCACAGGGCCTCTGACAAGACAAAGGGCCTTGATTCATTGTAAAGCGACCTTAAATTAGCTGACATTGATGAAATTGTCCGCTGACATCCGCTGACTTTGAAATTTGCTAAATGTCACTGCGTGTTGTGAGCCCTATACAGATTCCGTGCATAGGAGCAGCCGTTGTTTATATAGATGTAAAACACCTATATGAGTTTCCTCTAGGAAACGAGGAGGGTTGACCCCCGGGAAGAGGTTGGATTTTCTACATATTTGAAAGCCTGAAATTGCTTGAATGATGCTTTCCAAGTCCCCTCCATTTTCTAGAGAACAATTTTTGGAGACTTCTGAGTCGTAAGGTGCTGATTTTCTGGATGGTTGAGGTGCCCAAAATCCAAAAGCATCACTTTAGCATCTCTGGCAGTACGTTCTTGATTCTCTAGTGATCCCTGATTTTCTAGAGAGGCACTGGTAGGTCATTTTGTTTTGTTTAAAAATGTTAAAAAAATCCAGTCGTCCCATCTCCTGTCCATGGGCATTTTCGAAAAACTCGATCGACAAATTCGAAACTGCGCACTGGGTTGGATTTCGGGCACTAAAAAAATTGTTACCAGTAATTTGAAGTGGTTTACAAAAAATCATATAATTTCTAAGAATGTGCAAGTCAAGTACGGAAGTGATTTTCTTAGAAAAAATCTGAAAATGGAAAATGGTTTCGAAGATGCAGTCTGATACGCGGCCAACATTCTAGGATACCTTAAATTGGTTTGATGTTCGTTGCTAGTTTTCTTGGGTCCCTAATTTATATCACATACCTTTTGCTACCAAAAAATCATGTGTGCCAACCCGACCGGGTGAACTTGTACCGGTATGATGTAACCACTTCCCTAAACCACATTGGTACAAACGCGCATGAATTTTGACCTCCTTGTCCCCAGGTCGGGCTTTTGAAGACCTACGCCCGCTGGCAAATCACCTTTGACTGTGGTCAGTTGTGCAAGGCAACCTTTCAAGCCTCAGCAAATGCTGGTCCCCTCAGCAAAAGCATTCGTTGGCACTTTCCGGCACTTTTCTGACTCATTGATGCATACCCATAGATCATTCACAATCTATGGATTACAAGTCACGCCATCAGTGTTGGTTTCTTTACTCATGGACATGATTTTTTTGGGTTTGCTGTGTACTGAAAGTCGAAGAGGAAAGTGTGCCAACATGTGCCAGCGCTCCCCCAGAAAATCGATCATGATTGTGAGGCGTTTTTGACATTTTTATACATTTTTGATGAATGATTGCTTAGGTTGTTTTCAGCCGTCTCAATGCACCCTGCAAGTATCAGTCAGCATGACAAACGCATTGGGAGTTAATTAACGAAGTTTTACCCCAAGCAGAGACATTGTCAATGTGATATTTCCACAGGCAGGTATGCAGGTGTCAGCGCAGCACCGCAGGTGGCTGAGCGAATGCTTGCCACCAAGAAACATTTTGACCTGGACACCACTGTACTCCAGACACGTTATTCAAGTTTGTTCAATCAATTCAGCAGGATTCGGATTTGATTCGACGTTCTTGGCAGAAAACGAACGAATGGATGTGGGGTTTGCTTTCTGCTGATTCAAGATAGGAAACGCATTTTCGGAGTGCATCACGATCATCACGTTCGTTGCCAGGTGAATGGTTTGCACTGCCTTGCACTTCTGTCCGCCAGTAGCATGTTTAAGAGCTTTCCGACGGCAAGATTTGCCTGGACAGTCTCTGTTGGTGCACAGCAAGTTAGCGGAAAGTCTAGAGTCTAGAGTCTAGAATTGGGATCCAAGCTTGAGGTAATAGTTTTTCCTGTATAGCACAAGATCATAGATCTTGTTTGATGTCTTCGAGCTAGCGACTTCTCAATACCACCCATGAATCACTGCTGATATCTCATGCTCATTGTAGGTGAGACGATGAGACTTAAGCTGTCTCAACAAGATTCACTGGTTCATTTCGTGTTCTTTTCAAAAAGGCAAACAAACTACATCAAAATACATACGCTAGGCTTTCAAGCATCCATGTGCCAGAATGCAGCGAAATGCTATACGGAGTGGAGCAGAGACAACTGGTTCAAGCAAAGCAGCCTGGGAGGCGTGGGCAGCTCTTGGGGTTTGTTTGTTTCTTTTGCTTGATGGTTCAAAGGAAATGGATAAACTTGGATAAAATTTTATTAATCTATGATAAATAATGAATATTCCCAATAATTCCCCATACATTTTCTACCACGTTCCATTCGATTTGAATACTTACTTGAGGCTGCAACGAGATGACTTGGCACAATACATGCACTTTTGAGTGTGGGCAACATGAGCCTCTTGCAGCGTGTTGTATTTCTGATAGAAACAGTGGAAATTGCCGTCATCCTAGAGAGCTACTTGCAGTCTTCAATAGATACTCGATTTGTGTCCCCGACACTGAAGCAGACTGCAGAAGCTGTCGAAGGGTTTGCGCAGACTGTCTCCAACAGTTTAACTATCCACGTTTGCATTTGGGCAGGCAGTTGCACGTGCTGCAGGAACCCTTCTGATACCAGCGCGGTCACCCAGCCACTGCACCCACTCCACCAATTATGCCTATGAGCACCAGTCCCAATCGAGTCCCTGCAGTTGGCTGCCAAGATGCGTATTCAGAATCGCTTTGGCAAAGGCCACCAAGTGGTCTTGCTTGCATTGCAGACATTTCTGACACAGCTGACAGCCAATCAATTTCTCAAGCACTCAGAGTGAGTCATGAAATGTGCATCGTCTTCTGTTTCTTTGTAGAGGCTTTGTTCATCTTTGTTGACTTTCAAGTGCAGGTAACTCTCATTCTTGAACAGCAGACTTGGAAAGTGACGTCAGCGACTTTACAGACCAATATTTTAGAGACTTCCCTTTGTTTTGCGCAGAATTGCACAGTTTTCGCAATGAGACGACCGAGTGCCTTTCTGCCACTGGCCTTCTCTGGCTTGGCCTTTCTGGTTCCGTGGCCGAGTCGCTCTGCGCGGAGCGCTGCTTGGAATGCCAGGGCTGCCGCTGCTCAAAGCCGTTTGCCACTGAGAGCACTTGGTGATTCAGAGGACCTTTGCGATAAATCTGGTCATTTGAGTCATGTGTTCTCATTCCAAAAGGTCATGACAGCTTGATCAGCTCATCAAGTCAGTGTGGGCGAGCCCTTCCCATATCCTTCCCATGAGGAGCTTTCTAGCTTGCAAGCATGGATGCTTGAACAGGGGGCACCTTCAAGTGGCTCGACAAGCACTTATGCTCACAAAGGCTTTACATGGCTTTACACATCACACGCCTATAGCTCGTTTCGATCTAGATACAGCAAGGCAACCATCGTTGAATCATTCCACTCTCAGACGAGATGCAGCTATATCGAATCTAGACCTAGAGATGATCGTTATATATGGAATGGCAGTATATTCTGGTCCCACCAGATCGCAGCTTGATGAAGTCAGGTGGTATTCGCTTCGTGGATTTGCCAGGATTCAAATACAGCTTGGTGGCTGAAACCGCTTCTATGCTGACATTAGCTTTGGTGTACGTTTTCTCACAAGAAACATGGTTTCGTGTAAATCAACAACTCACTCAACCCCCAAGTTTTGTCCTTGCACCTATATTATGCTGAGCACATACTATCAGGCTAATAGACTGCTTCACCACCGGCGCCATCACATACCGCTGCTTGTTTTTCGAACTCAATGCTTTGCAATAGCAAGATGGCTCGTGAGATCAGAATGTGCTTAGACACCTCATATACAGTGTATATATATAATTATATATATGATTAAACTAAACCACATTAAACTTAGTTTACGTATGTTTATGTCACATGTTCATTTTCTTCCCTGAAAGCTGCACCATTTCTGCGTTTCAGCTTAGGACTTGAAAGCTGGGGACACCCTTCTGAGAGTGCCTTCATCTTTGCACATTTCTCCATCCTATGTGCGTGCTTTGGCCATCGACTTCAGCTTGTCGGTCTTGCGTATATTTCATTGTTTTGTATATAGTATATAGTTTATAGTTTGAGATTAAGCCTGGTACACTTTGAATGCTCGATATCCCAGCATCTCCGGGTTTGCCAAACAGTTGTTCCACAATGCAGATCCCATTTATATTTCTCCGATTCTGAGCTCAGCACTGAAGGCAGCACAGAGCTTGGCAAGACTTTCTCATCCATTGACGACAGTGCTTTGCTGGCTCTTGGGCTCATGGCGGAAGCGGCCAAGGGAGAGGAAGGCAAATGGTGGCCATACATCAGGACACATCTCCACTGAAACTGCACTTGAAATTGCACTCATTGTATCTCATTGTGCTATATAATTGTACTATTCCAATGATTTGAACTTGAATAGATTGCTTGAATTTGTCTGCTTAATTATTTTATCTTAACCTGGAAGCCCGGGAAGTGCGCTTAAGTTTAATCAGGATAGTCAGGTCTGTTCCACAGGAGTTTGACTCCCGCAGGATGTTGCCTTCATCAGACGAGCTGCACATCCCTTTGCTTTGGCCAGAAGATGAACGAAAGCAGCTGGACAGCTGGACTTTGGGATGTCGGGATGTGGGTATACGGTGGGGGCTGTATAACCAGGTACCTGTGCTTTTTTGAGACTGGGCCACTGGGCATGCAGTTGCAGCCGTGCAGTATTTTATTCCGCCACAAGTGAAACATGAACTCGACGGGAGCAAACCCTTAGTTGCTTTGTGCCACACCCATCACACCCCATGCTGGTAGCCGCTGTAGCTTGCCAAGCCTTAGCTGTTCCGCACATGCTGCGACCAGGAGAATTCGGACAACCAGGAACTAAGCCATATCAGATATACTGTATCAGCAGCCAGCGGCCATTCCAGTTTGCCATAAACGTGATATCTAGTGGGTGAATCGAGTAGTATAATACCTGATAGCATTGGATGATATCGTTGGAATTAGAGGGATATACGATACGTACGACGTACGATATGATAATAATATATAATAATAATAACAACAAATAATAATTATATATATATATTATTTATACGTTTTTATATGATGCAAAGAATATTATATATATATAAATTTATATAATATATACATATTACAGAGATACTATATTAATATAGGTACAGTATATATGTATATATATCATATTATAGATATACTATATAAATACTATATAGTAATATAGTATATATATATGTTAAACTATTCACCCCGCTTCGCGTGGGGTGGCCGCCCACACCGCAGGTTTATTTCGGTCCGTGAGAGGGGCTAAGCAAGCTAAGCAATTTTCACTTTTCCCCCCCGTAGAGGCTTCCCAGGCGAGAATTTTCACTTTCCCCCCCCGTGGAGGCTTCCCAAGCTAGGGAATTTTCGCTTTTCCCCCCCGTGGGGGCTTCCCAAGCTAGGGAATTTTCACTTTTCCCCGCCGTGACAGCTTCCCAAGCTATGGAATTTTCACTTTTCCCTCCCGTGGGGGCTCCCCAAGCTAGGGAATTTTCACTTTTCCCACCCGTGGGGGCTTCCCAAGCTAGGGAATTTTCACTTTTCCCTGCCGTGACAGCTTCCCAAGCTATAGAATTTTCACTTTTCCCTCCCTTGGAGGCTCTCCAAGCTGCGGAATTTCAAATAGCTAGACAACGACGCCTAGATAGTCCCCCAAATCCCGTGTTCTTTGAATGTGTTTCCATGTTTTTGCAATGGTTTCCTTCAAAGCACGGTACTTTACACTTTTGTCGCCATAAAACCGGTCGAAAACATCATGTTCGACAATGCTTCCAATTCCCTTATCTCCCCAACCGTTGAAAATACCGCTATTTACAGTGTTTTCTTCAATTTTTCCATGTTCCAATGCCGGTAGCCAACTCCAACATATATATAAGAAATCCTTCCAAAACATTGCTTTTGACAGTGTTTTTGTAATGTTTCCAGTCAAACAGACGGTAATTTACACGTTTTTTGCTATAACGTCAGTCCAAAACACTTGTTTTTGCAGTGTTTTCAATGCTCTGGCATCCAAAAACCCTGCAAAATCTTGCTATGTACAATGTTTTTTTCATTTTTGGCCGTTTTTCCATTGCCGGAAAGCTACCAAAATGACCCAAAATTCCATTTCAATACCCTCTTGCGCTCAGACACCCAAAAATCCTCGAAAAATGTCGAAAACACCACCTAATTCTGGTCTCGGTGCGAAACCGTTTTTGGCCCCCCCCCCCAGCTAAAGCTGATATAGCGACTGTTATATTAACAAATGTGATTGAGCATTTAGTGTAGCTGTTTCCCCCCAATAAGCACGCCTTCACCGCCAAAGCGGTGTGGGCGGATTTCCTGTTCACTGTGATCTTTGAGTCGTTTGTTTGCCCAGGCAACTGCTGAAGGGAAGTCCGCTGGACGTGGCCACTGAGCAGCAGCTGTTGCAGCTCACTGAGCCACACAGCAGCATAAAAGTGACATCTTAAAGGGCACATGATACAATTATACAGTACATGTACTACATGTACTATATGTGTATGTATACACACATATACATATTATATATATAATATACATATACATAATATATATATATATGTATGTATGTATGTATGTATGTATGTATGTATGTATGTATGTATGTATGTATGTATGTATATATAATATGTATATGATATGTATATATATATATACACACGGTTACATACGTATATTTTTAAACATATTATAGGTAACATCGATGGATACCTGATACATTGATACGCACACCCATGAGATATTTGGATGCGGAGTTGTTGGGAACTTAGACGGTATTCGTACCTGATATCTATCAATACTGCCGGAGAGAAGACAAAGCTGGCAAAGCTGGTGAGGCAATGGAATGACATAGCTGCTGTGATCAAAGAACTGGGCCTCGATTCACAAAGCTGGACCAAGGAGAGCGAAGCATCAGCGAGGGCCATGGCATCACAACAAATTACACATCATTTTGATGATGTTTAGTGCAATGATGGATACCACTGTTGACCGTTTTGATACCACGTCTGAGTTGGTGCCCCACGGGTTCTACCGAAGATGGCGACAGGTAGAATCAATTTTAGCACTTCACATCTTGGATCAATTTTTTCTTGCAATTCCAATGGATGTACTACTCTTTGGAAAACAAACATAGACCTCGAAACTGAGAAAATCAATTTCGAGGTCTTATGTTTATTTTCCAAAAACGACTGTTGCAAGAGCAAAAAAACAGAACAATTTCCCTCACTAACATAGACTTTGGACATAGAGCAAAAAAACAGAACAATTTGCCCTCTATGTCCAAGGTCTATGTTAGTGAGCGAAAGTTTTCTTGTTTTGCAAGTGTACAATTTACCTAGATGCATGGTCTATCTTCAACCACAACAAAGGATGGTACCATCCAAGTCCCCCTTGCAGATCTCAAACCAAAATGTCATTTTTTCTCACAAGTCTCTTCAAAAAGGCTCTTCGGAGTCGTTTTTTGGGCAAACAAAGGGGGTGTGCCCCTTTCCAAGGTTTTCCCCAGGTCCAATATTCTTGCAAGACTTTAATGATGTTGACGGCCCCTAACATGGACCCTCAAACCATCAAAATACGGGTCTTGTATTCCTTAACCAAAAAACAGTAGAAACTAACGATGCACAAACAGCAAGAAGGCCTCCCATGGTTCACCTAGAGCCTGATGGTTAGGACTATGTTTTGCTCGTTTTTCGTTTTGTCCATTGTATCCCCAGGGTCTATGTCATCCCCATTGTTGGACTTTCAGGAAACCATTCTAAAAGATATATCCCAACTAAAAAACATAGACTCCGCCATGTTGTTTTGGCAAGATGGATCATTTCTTGGACGAGCAACTCAAATAGATCCTTATACCATTTCAGGGTATATGGTAGCCCTACTTGCAATGCTACTGCAGGAATTGATGAGTTTTGGAAAAAAAACATGTTAGTGGGGTCGGCGGAAAGTAAAACAAGAATGCAATCTGTCGGGTCTATGTTATGCCAGTTGTCCATTGTTGTCCATTGTTGTCCATTGTATCCCCAGGGTCTATGTTATCCCCATGGTTGGGTTGCAGGCACGCAATGTTTTTTAAACAAGAAAACTTAGACCCTGAAATGGTGTGTTGGGAATTTCTTGGACTAGGAGTAATAAGCCTCTCAAATAGATCCTTATACCATTCCAGGGTCTGTGTTATCCCTACTTGCAATGCTACTCCAGGGGTATGTTGAGTCTTTGTCAAAACCCATCTTAGTGGGGTAAAACATGGTGAAATCAGATTGCAACGTGTGAATTCTAGCTTATGCCAGTTTTCCATTGTTGTTCATTGTGTCGCCAGGGTCTATGTGATCCACATTTTTGGACTTGCAGCTTGTTTTTTAATGTTTTTACAAGATAAGATAGACCCCAGACCAGCAGGTATGACCTACAGGGTCTACGTTTAAAGGTAGGTATCATGCATACAGGGTCTATGTTTGTTTTCCTTAGTGTACGTAAATTTGTTGCAGACTTTTGATCATTTCCTCATGGTAGCGCTTGATGCTACATTATGCTTCATGGTTTTTGTTTCCCATGACCAGGAGAAGTGGCTGTGGGCCCATGCTATCGTTTTGACTCGCGCACTACCTTTCGGCAATGAAGCTTGGAGTCAGAGAGTTATCCGCAGCAAGTGTTGCAGTGATACACGCAGGGTGGTTCGGACTTCACTCTAATCCAATCGCGCTCAGTTTTCCATTCAGAAATAGGACTTGAGGATGCTATAGGATGCTTGAGGACCTGATTTGTGCCGAGGGCAACCACTGGTAGAAAACTCTGTAGGAGTTGTCGCTTATTCCTGGCTTGGACCTGGCAAACCACGAGCTCGGTTCCAAGAACACCTGCAGCATCGGCGTTGCAGCGGCTGATGGGCAAGTGGTCGAGGCAGGTGTATCTGGGTATGAAACTTGTAGATTTGCCATGATTTGCCGACTTGCCATTTGAACAATTTTGAACATATTCGAATCTCATTTGATTCCATGTTGAGGGTGGGGTATGATCTTCCAGGAATCTTTCGTTGCATTTTGTTGTCACAGACGGGTACGGGATGCTTCGAAGCCCAGGCTCGAATATGGCCCGTGCTGCCAACAGAAAATGATATGTTATATTGATTAAATCTTCATGACATGAATCCAGCCTTATTTTTAAGCTCAGTAAGTCAACTGCAAGTACATTGTAAGTACAAAATTCTTCCATCCCATGATGGCTTTCATCTGTCATTACACTAAAGTCTAAATTCGACATCAACTTTTGGACAAACACGACACATGCTGTATCACTTCAACTAGATTTGATCTGACCACATTCGAAACACAGCAACTGGCGGGATTGACCAAAGCTCTACCACAGAAGACAAGCCCGCCATGTTGCTACTAGAGCTGACATAAGGATCATAAGTTATGCATGATTAAATCTGCCAGCCCCATGAAACAACATGCCATGCCGAGTTCTGCAGCATAGTTTGTTTGTTTTGTGGCTTTTGGACATTTTTGGACTCTCTCTTGGTTTCCACGTCAGTTTTGAATCACACCGCATCCCCTTGAATGATGGTTCACGGACTGCAAGCTGGAGGAAGTATGATACAAGAAGTAAGTATGATGCTCCCCACGCTTGAACTCTTGGATAAGCGGCCTCCTTTGTCTGAAGAGTCTGAAGCACATTGAAGCGTTGCTTCATGTTGCTTCTAATACCTCTATTATCCGATAATCGAGTGATTCTTAAACCACATGATAAGAACACAATTCAGAAAATAATCACACAACCAAGAGAACCATATGTAATTAGTTAGCACATCACGGCCTGGTGCTGCCCTGCCTACGTAGTAGACACTCCCAGGAAGCGCACAATGGATGTGATGGACAGTGCTTGTAAAGCAAAAGATGATCGGCAAAAGTGAATTTTGGTTGCCACGGAATGTGGTTTGACAGATACTGGTACAAAAGAATACTAAGAGGGATAAGGGGGATGCGCTCTCATGCGTTCTGTATAATGGCATGAAAATCATGAAACGGGTTCGCGGAGGCTACAGATGCCAAGTAACTGGAAGATAACGAGCCAGAAGCAGTTCTCACTGCTGGCAGCGATCATGGCAAAGGGGACCAGGTCTTCATTGATTACGTCGATGGCACAGAAGGGGGTTTGTTGTTTGTTGTAGAAAAGGTGGGAGCGATGACATGGATAACATTGGATAATGATCAATATGGATGTTATTATGATGTTATCCATGTCATGGATATGTTACCATGATGTTATTATGGATTATGTCGTTGGATAATGATCAGATATTGAGATGTTACCAACGCATGCCACGACATCATGGTGCTCTGAGGATGGTGGCGTTGGCTTGAGATTGGCTTGGGAGATGGTGCATACTTATGGCCCCATGACTGCCATGGCTTTGGTCCTCATTTCAGTGACAACCTGACATTTGCTGAGTATCGAGTTCGTATCATTGCAAGATAATGCAAGTGATGTTTCAGTAGGATCTCTTGTGGGGTTGAGATCCAATTGCCCATGCTTCAGCTGGCTCTTGACTGCTGAGGTTTTGTTCCAAATAACTTACCTGCCTATGCAGGGAGGCCTCTCTTCTTTGAAGGGGTGCAGCCTGATGACCCATTGTCTCGGCAGAAACAGGTTCGACCTCAGACATTTTCATGACAGATTTGTGACCTGTGCTGTTGAGCGATGGCAAAGACCCATGTATTATACGCATCATACACCAGTTGTGAAGGGTTGGCAACTGAAGGCCCGCTCGAACAAGATATCACGATCTCGAGAAGCTTTTGGGATCTTTTGGGTGTTTCAGAACCTGTTTCTGGTCAAACCCATCTAGCTTCAACAGCTCCGAACGTGGATGTTTGATCCCAGCCATTGGCTCCTGCTCCAGAGAAGCACTTTGGAGGGGTCTGCATCGTGCGAGGCGCTGTTTGAAGCGCTTGGTGCCGACCCTGCTGTGCTGGAGGCCAGCTGCGACAGACCTTTCGGATTTGCTGAGAATTGCCACCGCTAATCTGTTTGTGTAAACAGACATTAGACAGATCCAATATTAAAATCTCACCATATCGAGAGCGTCAGACTTCAAGATCAAGCAATGAATATAATGACATTCAAAACTGTTGCAACTGCTCGTAGAGTGGACGATGCATCGTACCGAGTGCTTCGGTGAGTTCTAAAGGGCTTTTACCCTATTCTTACACTTTTAAGAAGGCATAGAGTGCAGGTGTGGCAGGTGGCAAGACATGTCTGTCAATCCCAATTTAGCTTCCAATCAACGGTGAGGAATGAGTAGTGATAAACTATGATAAACTCAGTTGCCTTTGGCATCCTTTGGCGGCACTTTTCCTGACGTGAACATCGTGGAACATGGTGGAACCGCTTCTTGGAACCGCTTCTCGCCAGGGCTTCTGGCATGAGCTGCGTCCAGTGGGAAGTCAATGCCGTTCGATGGCGCCCAAATTGAGATTGGCCCAGCTCAGCAAAGAGGAACCTCTAGCGACTCTGGCAGCTGATGAAAGTCCCAAACAATTCTTCACCAGATCCAAATCACCTTGAATTTTGTAGATGTGTCATTTTTGCACTTGAAAATTATGTTCTCATTCACGATGGAAATAGGGCCTAACGGCCTTGCCCAACACTGTTTGACCATTTGACTCCTCATCTGTCATTATTTGATATTATTATAATTTATTATATATTATTTATATACTATTTGTGTTAAGCTCTGAGTTGTTTTATGCTGTTTTTTCTCCATATGTCCATTTTGTATCATTGTCCAGTCCACTGCAGGACGGTCCATTGGCCGAAGCCTTGGGAGCCTGGAAAGCTGAACCCAAAACCACGTACCAAGCGCTGCAGCAACCCATCAGCGCTGAAAACGAGGAAAAGGTGAAGCAACAGGCCATGGAGATCCATGGAGATGGTGCCAAAGATGCAACAGGCAAAGTACACTAGATTCACTAGATTACACGAATGTGAGTGAACTCGTCAACTAGTCTGGCTTGTACTAGTCTTGTACTTTTGTTTGGAGATGCGGTGGAACTGATTGATGGGCGAGTCAAAACCCGCAAGCACTGCAACAAGACTTGGCCATTCCGGCCTCCTGATTGGTATATAATGGATTTCAAGTCTATATACAGAAAAAAGGTATGAAGAAAGCAGATGACCTGCCTCGGTGACTCTGATAACAACGAAATGTGATGAAACATGATGGAAGGGCAGCTATGAAGGAACCCAGGTTGTCTCAGGTTGTCCTGTGACTTTCAAAACGTCAGATCATTAGCGCCGTGACGGCGGCCTTGGAAGAGCTGCCAAAGGAAGAGGAACTGAAAGCGAAGGCCTCCAGCTCCAAACAGGACGGCTGGGATGGGCTATGACGGGCTATGACGGGCTATGAGGGGCTGTGACAGGCTTGATGCCTTCAGACTGTACTGGACAGGGTGAGATTTTAACTTGGGAAGTTCTGGAGCAACCTAATTGCAAAGTCGATTTGATTATTTTGATATTTGACATGTCATCGGAATGTGTTAACCTCATTGGCATGGAGATGTTATGGGTACATTCGGGTACATGACGTACCGTGCTCGTTCCAGGGGCCAAAGTCTGACAGCAGCCCAGTCCTTGCAGGAGCCTCACGAGATCCATCAGACCCTGGCAGCATCTCGGGAGAAGATGCATTCCTGAGCTCAAAGTTTTCTTATGTTTTCTTTGTTCCCCGATATTTTGCATTCAAAGATATTCAAAGTATTTCAAAGTAAAGTATTCGGGGAAAATCCATCACCGATCACCTCTACGTAGACTCTACATATCTATGTCTATATATGTCTATATATCAATAATTTGAAAAAAGCCATCACATTTCCCAAACATGTTCTATCATCTTCTATTTATCATGTTCTCCAAATTTTAGATATTTTTAGGGGTATCCCAGTTATCCCGGTATCCCAAAGATTCCCAAACCAATCGATAGGCCAAAGTGCTGTTGGGCGAGCGTTTGGCCTTGGAGACCTGCCTGGACCAGTGGAGCTAAGCGGCAGAGCTAAGCGGATGCTGCGGCTGGCGGGCGATGAAAAGATGCCGGAAAGCTGTGGAAAGCTGCTGGAAAAAGTGGATATATAGTGGATATATATATATATATATGATGTAAGTGGATATGAGTGGATTGTTAAATGTTGCTATAGGATGGTATAGGATCGTATCACTATAGTATCCATAGTAGGTCTGGATGATGTTGCTGTCGTCTCCGAAACTGAGGTGTGGTCTGCAGTTCGCACTAATGGTTTGGATGTGCAAAGCATCCTACGCGCAGTGGAGGCAGCAGTTGCGCACCTGGCAAGTTTACCAAGGTACCGATCCCAACGGTATCCAGCGGTAATTACCCACAATGGCACTTGATATAAATTGATCCATTGCAGACTTGGCTCTAGGCTCAGATGATCTCAAATGCTTCGCCAGGTGCTTGGTGTCGATTCTACGGAGATCCTCAGAGCATCAAGATATTTAATGCTGCTGCGAAGCACAGAGCTTGATGGGCACGGTTGCCCAATGCTTGACTTACAAAGCAACTTTAGTCGAACCTTCTCTTGAAGTGGAGATTCCTTGGTGAGCTTTCCTGGAACATGCAGTGGAAAACGCTTCGCAATGGGTGTTGCCAGCCTCCCTTTTCCACACTGTGCATAGTGGATGTGACACCGCCCATAGTGCATCAGAATTATTGGATATTATTGGAATGATTGCAAGTGGCTAATGCTCCTGAGGCCTACTTGTTTAGCTCTGCATGAACACCTCAGCGCTCTGGGTGTCCATCCAGAGGCGAACTGGGATCGCAGCCACAGCCATACAAGCCTTTTCGTATTTCCAAGATTGATGACTTTCTAGCTGCGGGCACTCGTTGCGTTGAGGGATGCTTGGTTGGAACAGGACAGGTAGACACAATGCTGAGATTTGCCCATGCTTGGGCAGTTCCAATTTTTAGGCGATCCTCGCATTTATCCTTTGCGAAGCTTCCAGCTTCACTGGGGCAAGCCATTTCCGTGATGTTTGCAGCACTCATCAACACTCAAGTCCCTGAGTCCCCTTGAATCCGTGTTCTCAAGATTCTCTGTTGCTGGGAATAACAAGATTATAATATTAATGGGTTAGATATGATTAGAATATATTAGAGTAAACACACATGTCACAATTAAATTATGGTATCGGTATCGGCATCTTTTATAATTCTGTACTGTATCTGTTACTGTTGCTTTGTTAAGGACTCCCAGTGGATCTTCCACCTGGGGATTTTCCTGCCAGAACGACGTGATGTTGGTCTTGGCGGACACAATTACTCCAGCCTTATACGCGTACTGAGCCGGCTGCGAGCCGACAACTCTCAATTGCGATGAGCAAAACTGACTGTTTGCATGTGCTTCGGCGGATAGCACATGGATGCACATGGGATGGATGGGAAAAGAAAACATGCATGTACTGTAATGGAAAGTGTCCAACCAAGGCGACTGATGCTCCTGTCTATGTATAATTATGCAGCTTGATAATGGTTGATAGAGATAATATGGCAAGTGTTCACATGGCTATGCCATTTGTAATTACGCAAAACTCACAACGTGAGTGGCTTGGGGAGAACGACGTCTTGATTGCTCCAGCATATTCTTTTATGATCTTGACGAAGGCATTTGCACTGTTGATTTAGCTGTCGCTCTTGGTGGAACCTCTCGGTCATATGGCAAGCGTTGCTCCAACTGATCAGGTTTTGAAACACTCGACTATCAGACAAACTGAATTTGGGCTTTATTTCGGTCGGCTTCAAGATGAGAGTCCACACATTCTGATTGCGGATGTTGCTCTGTGCTCAAAAGCATTCAGCTGAACCAACGCATGGCTTGAAGTCTCAAAGCATGGAGCCTTACACTATCTTACACTCATCACTGATCATCACTGCAGATCTATCAACTATGATCCTTCGGTGAGAGAAACTCACTTTAACCGTGAATATTGTGCTATCACCAATTCCAGCACTCTACTATGGACTCCTGGTGTTTTGTTAATGACCGACCGGGACAGCTCTGATTGAAGCAACAACTTGTTCTTACATAGCTGTTTTGGCATGTTCTGGCTATGACCCTCAGAATCTCAGGCAGCACACATAGAATCATGGTAACATATGATATCATATGATAGCTTCAGAAGTAGTGGGTGTTTCTTGACAGGCTGTCCTGCTCTAGGCTCTCTATGCACAATGTTTAACGGACCTCACGCTAGCCAGTGTTTTGAATTGAAACGATGACTCGCTCTCGTAGGGCTGGTGCAATCCAGGCCAGGGTAATGACAGGGCTGACAGGGCTGGTTAGCAGCGGTTAGCAAGTGATTTCATCTGATTTCCATTCGGAACGACTTCAACTCTACCTCTCAGTTTCCATACAGTTGTGGCAGGCTCTAGCACGATTGTGCAGTAGGGATTCTCACGATATGTCACGATATGTCACGATATCTTTATCAATGCAAAAATGCTGGCCCTATCAAGGTATGAAGTTCCCTTGCTTCTGTCAGTTTCATTTCCAGCACGATTTTTCTATGTTGGTAAACAACGGTGTAATAAGATGTAACAAGATAGAATACCATTTATTGATTGTGCACAGTGGATATCGTTGAATCATGTGAGATCATCATCACCACCACCGCCACTACCACCACCATCATCATCACCATCATCATCATCATCGAAGACAACTAGACTCCTTTCAGCCTTGAAGTTCTGAATGACATGGTAATCCTGCCAACAGCTTGAGATTGGGGTGTCAAATGCATTGAAATGTGCTTATAGGATCTTGTAGGTTTGTCAGGATTTACGGTTCGCAAAAGCTCTTACTATGCCAGCATTCTCTCTACTGACTCTACTGACTGCATTGAACAATTTCAGGCAGTGGTGGTTGTTGCGGCATGCGCATATCTTGCACGCACCTGGTGTGGTTTCTCAGAGAATTCAGGGCTTGATATAGATGAAAAATCTTGAATCCCAGGTTCAGCAAGTTTTGGTTGCCAAGATTTGCCAAGTCTTTTCCTTTTCTACAGGTCGTAACGACAGGAGCTGTCATTGCACGACACACCCGTCATTACCCCCCTTGAGTTGATTCATAGACCGCACTAACCTTCGTTATCTTCGTTCAATCTTCGCCCGTCAACGCCTTCACCCCAGGTGCGCGCCTGGTCGACCAGTCACCGCAAGGGTACCCAGAGGATAAAACACATATGACAGTACTTGTACAGTATGTAATATATAATATATATACATAATATTATATACACTACTTCATAAGTCTTCTTGATACCACCTTAGATCAAATATGATCGAATAAGAGCAGCTGATTTAATCCCTGCATTTGTTTGTGATACTGGTTGCTTCCTTTTGCTTCCTAGTTTATAAAATTCCCCAAAGTACAGATCCGTACAGACCCTTCACGCCACAGCGGAAGTTGGGCATGCTGCAGTCCATGATCCAGGATTCAAAGAAAAAGTAACTATCTCTGATCCGAACGACAGAAGTCAATTCTTGGTCTGACATTAATGCTCTCAGCGTTCATTTTGACACCTCTTGAACGTTTTGTTGTGCTTGTCCTCTGTTTTCAAAGCTGGAGGTGAAAAACCCAAGGCGTACCCTGCGCATGGCGGGGACCCTGAGTGCACGTTGCTGTAGCGTGCACGAAGATATTTCACAGGATCCTTTGGAAACTTCTAGAGCTACTTTCTATGCCATGCTACAATAATTAGTTTGGCTTAATTGTCCAACATTGTACAACTATGACTATGACGCACTTTGTTTTGCACACAGCTTTCTAGCTCTCCAGTTGTTTTCGGAAAAAAAACACACTAAGAACGAAGATGTGGCTCGCAACAAGCCACGGCTTCTTTAAGCGTATCAGGTCTTGCAACAGTCTTCCTCACTCCAACCTAGTCAGACCGAGCAAATGCTGAGGCGATAGCCAGTGACATTGAGGAAGCAGGTACAGAATCTAAGGCCAGGGCTCATAGAGTAAGGAAAGGTGGAAGTCGCTTTGCAAGGGGAGTAAGTGCACGGCGTGCCAAGAATAATCACCATGTATTGTAGGATACCAGATGCTTTCATGGGTTTTGGCACTTTGAAATTCAAATCAGTATTGTATAGTATTGAATATTGTGTAGTTTCATCAAACCTTACCAGGTGTGGGATAACTGGTGTGAAACCTTACATGCGGGTCACCCGCCTGTGCTTCAGGAGGAGAGATGGCAGCGCTTCTCCGATTGGATGGCAGCACGCGGTGCTAACATGGTGCGCTGGGGAGTCAGGGGGAGTTCCCAGCTTCTGAGACAAAGCTTGTACTGATGGAATTTGCCATACTCTTCAGCTACTCTTCAGCTACTCTTCAGCTACTCCTCCGCTCATTTTAGCTTGTGACTTCTCTTGGAATCTCCCACATGCTATCTTGATCCATTTTGATCCGTTTTGAACGTGCCTGCTCAAAAAAACAGCCCAGTGACTCGAAGAGTCCCTAGCTAATGCATTACAGAGAAAAATGCACATGCATGTATGCCTCACAAGACAAATTGAGATGCTTCGGAACAAAGCATGCATTTGAGGAGAAGGTGAAAATCGCGAACGTGAATGGCATGCGAAAGCCTCAGCAGACCTGCTTGAGACAGAGGTGTACTGAGCCTGCTTTTCTTTCCGGCAACAATAGATGCAATCAAACACTGATCACTCATCAGGATCAAGACGGGTGCATTACCAATCTGTCACCCGTTGCCAGGTTGTATTTTTCAGATATTTTCAGATGTGTTGAGACATTTTCAGACCATGCTGCCCAGCTGAGGCGAGGCTTAGTAGCTGCGCAGGACATTGCTGAGAATGAGTCCATTGCACTGCCCCAAGTGTGTACTTGGCAAAGTTTGAGTGAATATGAGTTGATATATGTTGATATGAGTTGATTATTTCCTAGCGGAGTCCCATTTGCTGCATTCTGACACTCGAATCAAATGGCTCTGCAAACATTTCACCCA